GGTCGCTGAGTACTACTAGGTGTGCCGAGTTTGGGCTCGTTTTGTTAGGTATGATGAGTCTTTATCTCCGGACTTGTCGGAGTGACCTGAAGGTGTACTTTGGTAATCGGTATTGGAACTGGTCGCCGAGTACTACTAAGTGTGCCGAGTTTGGGCTCGTTTTGTTGAAGAATACCTTTTATATTAAGAGTTTAATTATAAGAGTCCAATTGTACATTTTGGCGCGCAAACGTTGCGTCCTGTCAACTTATACACTGAACTAAACTCGCTCGTTTACACGAACGGCGGCGAGTTTAGTTGCGGGTGGCGGCAGACGCGCGGGAGGGTAGCACTTCGCACTTAACTCGCCGAAAAATAGCTCGGCCGGCTATCCCGTTCAACTTAATCGTTAAGTTGCTACTTAACTCGCTTATTGCCGTTCAAACGAGGTTCAAACTTAACTCGCCAGGTTCGCAAGTTAACTCGCTACTGTACTTGTCGAAGTGTAAATCGGTCTTAATGCCTAGTAGTGTTGCGAACAGGAGACCTCACGGAAAAGCTTTTGTTTGGAGGTGAATTGTCTGCTTGCTTTGCACATACTGTGATCACGCTGCGCTCTCCGACTGCCGGTTGCGCTCCGCCCACTGCGGGACGCGCGGGTGAAAAACGAATTTGAAATCGTGCTCAGACCTCGTCTTACAGCCTGGCCACGGGACATTCGCCGTAGCGAAAATTCGCGCGGCGCGAACGGCGAGGCGTCTGGCGACTAAAACAAATCTATAGAAATGTATGGAGTATGTATGGAAATTTACAGGGCGAATCGCGCGGGCGACTGGCGGCGCGGCGAGCGAATGAAACAAATGTATGAATCAGTACGGTGCAAGCCACGGAGTCGGGCGGCAGTCGCGGCGGCAGACGCGGCTAATAGTACAGGAACAAAATATTTTAGTTGTTTTCGCGGCGAAAAATGCCGTGCCGACAAAGACAACTTAAAATTCCATCCGCATTTACTTTTATCTCTAATTCTGGTTGAATATTAACAAGAATATAATCGCAGGTTTCAACACTCATTCTGGTATTTACTCGAAATTTTTTCTAGATGCATTCTATTTGTTGTGGAATTCTCCATCTATAACCCGATTCCTATTCAAATCAAGTACTCCGCAATCTCATCCAAATATTATGTCTTGAATCAAAAAACAATTACTTTCTAAGCAATATCAAGATAACTTTGATAAAGACATTTCACTCTCGGCCTATGTGGTCGCGGCGGCAAACGTGACTTCCCGTGGCACTCAAATCGCGCCGCGCGAATTTTCGCCCCGCCTGTCGCTTCGCCGTTCGCGCTGCCGATCCCCGTGGCCAGGCCGTTTGATTGCCGGTTTATAGCGTAAAAATATGCAAAAACAGGACACACTGATAAACACTTTAACTCACTTCGCATAACATATCACCGGTAAATTAAATATTAGCGTATTTTCTATTTTGGAATTATTTTTAAGTTTCTTAAAAGATTTATATTAAACACAAAAATGAACATAATATATTATGTGAGCATCGAATGCAAACGTAGCGATGGTAATGTTGATTTGTTAACCGAGGTTGTACATAGTTGATATACCGGGTGGACCAAAAATTTTTGCAATTAGCAACACTGAATATCTCGAAAACATGGGAGGTGCATGCGAGTGACGAGAAACTATGCGTAGCTCCATGCAATCAGCAATTTAGTCACGACGGAGCGTTTTACAGCATGATTTCACAACGTCGTGCTTTTTGTGTTAAGCAATTTTACAAAACCAATAATGCGGGCATCTAAACTTTTTCTGCCAACAGAGCGGCACCACTTCCAAATTAAGTGAAATATAAGACAGATTTCATAGCAAGGAAATTAATATGCGAGAAAAACGTAAAGAGAGTGCGCAAAATAATTGTTCGGACTAATTACAGCCGCTCGATTTCACCGTCGCACATGGCGCCAGAACTCGAACTACCATCCATACCATATGGATAATTGGCGATCCACAACTGTGCAATTTACAAGAAATATTCTTCCTTGTGGAATCGACTACCACCAGCTATTTTTCCGGACCGACACGACTTAGGGACCTTCAAGAAAATATCCTACTCTTTTTTAAAAGGCCGGCAACGTATCAGCAATTCCCCTGGTGTTGCAGTTGTTGATGGGCGACGGTAGTCACTTCATCATCATCTGAGCCTCACGCTTGTTTTTACCCTCTCATATAAAAAAGGATATTTTCTTTTTATAATATTAGTTACATTGTATAATAATTAAATTAGAAACGAATAAACAAAAATACAGACATTCTGAAAAGAAGAAAATTACAAAGAGTTAAAAATGTGCAAAATAAATTAAAGAGCAAACTACTGGGGCATTGTTTTATGTATTAATATACTACTCTAGAATCTGATAAACATTTATTCAAAACTAAGTTCTAAATTAAATGACAAGGCGTATGTAATAACTTCAATTTAAAATTTAAAAAACCCCCGAAACAAAAAGAACTGATGACCTTGAAACAGCTGAACTGATATTGATAAAACAGGTCTAAGAAGCTAAGAACCACCGCTAGAAAACCTACTGTTAAATTAAAAGAAAAGCCGCATCCAAACCGGTTCACCCATTTAAGAGCTAGGGTGCCACAGACAGACACACATAGCGGTCAAATTTATAACACCCCTCTTTTTGCGTAATAAAACTTCATGTCAGTCCGAAATAGCGACTTCTGGTGAGCGGAAGATAAGCCCTCATCTACCTCAGTTAATGTATGACGCTTGTTTAGAATCGAATATGGATTACGCCGTTTAAGCGAGTGTCTAAGAGGTAATTTATTTAAAGCTTGGGGTGAGAAGTTCAAACAAACTGATTCCACAATTTGGTAGAGCCATGCTACAGCTATTTTAGTAGTATAATTGTAGCAGGAATGGGTCGGCTCGACCAAGAAAGACCACGCTCTCACAGAATACCAGCGTAAAATAGCAGCTTATTAGTACTGTATTTTGTATAGTGAGTGTAGAGAGTCGGAGATGCTTCTCACTGGAAAGAATAGAATACTATTTCGTTATAATGGTTTTTATTATGAAATACTGAATGAATAATAATTAGGTTGAGCGCTGGTTTAATACAGGCATTAAAGACTCTGTATAGGGACTCGAGTGCTTGTGTTAGAATCAACGGGGTCTACTCGGACTGGTTTGGCATCCATAAAGGTGTCAGACAGGGCTGTGTAGCTTCCCCGTGGCTGTTCAACCTATTTATGGACAGCTGTTTGGAAAATTTGAAAGTTGAAGAATGCGGGTTAAGAATGGGTGAGTTAACCATCAAATGCCTTTTGTACGCCGATGATCAAGTCATACTTGCGTCGTCGGCGGTCGAGTTGCAAATGATGGTTACATTAATGAACAGGTCATTAAAAGAAAGGGGAATGAAAGTGAATGCAAGTAAGATGAAAGTGATGGTTTTTGAAAGAGAAGAAAGCAAAACGGTATGTGAAATAAGAATAGAAGGAGAGTTAATGGAGCAAGTGAATGAGTTCGTATATTTGGGATGTGTATTCAGCAGGGATGGGAGATATGATAAGGATATTGAACGACGAGTGAATGCAGGAAATAAAGTAAATGGGGCTCTACACTCTATTGTGAAAAGTCAGAATGTGTCAAAAAAGGCACGTATGGCAATTCACAATGCTGTATTAGTCCCTATTTTAACATATGGTAGTGAAAGTTGGGTGTAGCAGAAGAAGCACGAGAGTAGAATAAATGCAGTAGAAATGCGGTCGCTAAGGAGTATGTTAGGGCTGAATCTGAGTGACAGGGTGAGAAACTATGTGATGAAAGAAGAGTGTGGTTTGCAAGATGATGCAGTGACCAGGATTAAGAAAGGAATGCTTCGGTGGTTTGGTCATGTAGAAAGAATGAATGCGGAAAGACTGGCAAAGCAAATATATGTTGCAGAAGTGAATGGAAGAGTCGAAAAGGGACGTCCTAGGCGGAAGTTTGTCGACCAAATTGGCGATATACTAAAAATGGGCCAAATTAAGAGTACCCTTAACCGACGAGCATGTATTCGTAGGTACATGGATGTGGAAGAGGCGAGAGAGATATGTCAGGATCGTGCTAAATGGAAGTCTGTAGTCTCTGCCTACCCCTCTGGGTGACAGGCGTGAGTGTTTATGTATGTAAAATAATAAGCACAAGTTAGGTAGCAAAGAATCTTTTAATACGGCGCTTTGTTTCTAAATGCCAAATTATCCTGCGGGTGTACGCACACGGCAACATTTGATGTCGCGGCGGCGGCGGCCTATAAGACTATACTAGCCGTAGCCCGCAGTGTAAACTGCTTCAGCACCTCACTTCGCTGACCAACTAGCAAACCAAAGAATTTTAATAGATCTGAAGGGTTTTTTTGTTCAAATTCTATGTGGACGAAGTCGTGGGTAAAAGCTAGTAACATAGAAGTTGAATACAACAAAATAGTTTTTAATTACAATTGTACAAGTTCTAGTAAGTTAGTTAGCCTTAAGAACGTATGATATTACATTGTTATCTACATTGAAGTAACCTTTTGCATTGGTTCTAATAGTGTCTGTAACTGATAATAGCCGCCTTGTATTAAAACACACAAATTGGAATTTCGAAAACATCTAATACCTAATTATGAATGAAATGAGTGCAATATTATGCATATGAATGACATTATTTCTTTTAAAAACACAGTTGTTGCAAGTGTTTTAAAAACATGATTTTAATAATAAAAAATAGTTGATGATACTTTTCTCAGTAATGTTTTTAGGGACATCTTCTTGAGCATACATGGGCGCTATCTAACGTTTTGCGATATGACTAATGAAAAAAAAAACAAAGGATTTTAGCTTCGCTATAATAGAAAGAAATATTTTTAAGCAGTTTTAGTTTATCTCATATTGTATGTTTTAAATGATGTATTTCTTTGATTACAAAGGTACACCTAAAGAAACCTTTAATAAGACTAACCAATTTACCTGTCACTGAGAACATTCCTGTCATGTCCGGGTGGTGGTAAGCTGAGCTGGTATGGAGTATTGAAATAGTGTTGTTGTTCATGAGAGCGATGTACGACTCGTCCCCCTCTCACTACCATATAACCACTATCACCAATGTTTGCGGCACGCATAATACTTTCATTACGGTCTAATATCATCACACATGCTGTACTACTTCCTGTAAAACAATCAGATTTAAGAAAAATTAAATAAATGCAGCAAAAGACAGAAAATTATCTATTGCATTTCTTTTTGTACAGTCAATTAATTATTACTAATGCCACAATATAATTTTCTTCCAGCTTATCTAAGGTAGTGTAGCGAGTGTTTTAGTTAGAGCAACAATACATGGAATAAAATAAACAACACGACCATGGTATACAATGCATTATTAACAGGTGATTTATGCTAACCTAGTAAAAATCTAAATAATGTGCCGCAATTTAATGCCTGAATAAAGTCATAAAATTATGTACAACATATAAGGTCAGAAAAAAGTTTCTTCGTATTTTATATACCTACAAATTCAAGACATTTTTATTTTCAAAGTTTTATTACATTTAATTTTAATTATACTAGTTTGCCAAGCAGACGTTGTTGTGCCCTTTTCGATGAACCTTTGTCATGTCGTATTAAAAATCCTTAAAAACGCAAAAAAAAAAATTGTGGGTCACTCATAGGCAAAAACTATCCTATCTGTCAAGTTTGACCAAACTGCTCACGGTGTGCAAGTTTGATCAAAATCGGTTAAGTAGTTTAGGATTTCATCGTGGACAAACAACATGACACATAATTTATATATATTAAGATGTGCCATTCTGTTCGATAACTTGTTGCCACCTTGTAGGTAGTGACATAATTCCATTGCTGTAGAGAAATCTTTGGAATTTTGGTCATAAGAATGCAACAAGTAGTTTTGACAGTCCTCTTTTAATGTTAGGTGTAGTAGTGTAGTGTAGTTTTAGGTGGAAACAGGTGAAAATCTGAAATTGCAAGGTCAGGGCTATATGGTGGATGCTTTATCACTTCCCAACTAAGCTCTCTTAATTTTTGCTGAGTGGCCAAATATGTGTGTGGTCTGGCATTATCATTTGATCAATTGATATTGTTGATCAATTCCGGCCATTATTTCGCAATTTCTTGTTTGAGTCTCATTAGTTGTTGGCAGTAGAGATCCAAATCGATGGTTTTGCTCGGCCGTAAAAGCTCATAATAAACAATGCCCTTCCAATCCCACCATTCCACACAGCATCACCTTATCACATGTTAATCTAGATTTTGCTACAGTCTTTGGAGCTTGAGTACCCTTTGATCATGATCTTTTTCACTCTTACAAAACTCACAGAACTTAATCGAGTGTGAAAACAAATAACCTACATTCAAAACTAAACTTAAGTTTAGAAAAATTTTGTTGAGTTTATTATTTGTACTAATATATTGTCTATAATATGTTTCATATAATTGTAACAGTAAAACTTGGAAGGGTTAGGTCATTCTTATGGCTAATGTACAAAAAGATCATTAGAAAGATTGATTGACTTAAGTTATAATTGAATGTTATTATTACCTAATATTGGTTTCTTGTGTTCCAATAATTCATAATAAGATTTAGCTAACAGGTCTCCAGGTTCGGATAGTTTAAAGTGGCCCATTCGTACTAGCCTCTCACATGTTCTCATAAGATATGAAGAGAACTCTCCAGGATCAATTCCGTAGGCACGCCAGCCTCCAACACCGTCTGCAACTCCTATTAACCAAAAACAATCAAGATGTTATGTTACAAGAAATATTTAAAAAAAAATGTCACTTTATATCCTATATTATATATTCAAAAAATATACATGTATTGATACATGGAAATTATGGGTATTCTATTAAAGGTAAATATGGATACTCTAAAGAAGAAAGTGTTACATTACTTCTACAACCTTGTCAAAAATATGTAAGCAATTATCAAGTTATATCAGCGACAGTAGTTTGATGTGTGACTGTGGCCCAAGCGCAACTCTAGCTCTATATTATTAACTACATAACTGGAGGGTTTACATAGCAGAAAACTAATAAATGCTTATCACTGTTAAATAAATAAAAAACTTTAATATTTATTCTACCTACAGTTTCCTCGGTCAGGCCCAAATTAGTTAAGTCAGATTGATTTAAAATTCTCGAGCGGTCTCTTAGACCTATGTCGCCACTCACATAATTTTTTTTGGAATTTCACTTTATTGATTTATTGTGGTTATTTTCAGATATTACTTACAATGAATAACTCTGGACCTCCTAGAAAAAAGCGTAGAGAAGTTGTAGGCAAGTCTCATCAGTCGTAAATTCTAATGTTGATTGCCAAATTGTAGAATGGTTAGCACAGGACGACTTAAGTGGATCGGATGCTGAAGACGTTCCAGAAAATTATGCTCCGGAGCATAGCGACCACAACTCGGAAACGGAAGCAAGTGCTTCTGAAGATGAAGAACCAGTAATACATCAGGAAAATCAGCTTTCAGAAAGTGACAGTGACCAACCTTTGTCAAGAATATCTAGATGTTTCTATGGCAAAAGTCAGTTTAAATGGGCAAAAGATCCACCAAACACAACTGTGAGGAGAAGTCAACATAACATTATAGCTTGTGTGCGAGTCAAGGTTGAATGAACTCGATGAAACAATGATTTTTATTTGTGGAAGAAAATTATAAGTTTAGATATCTTAGAAGAAATTTTGAAATGGACAAATGTGAATATTGGTGAACTGAGATTGAAGTACAGTAGAGAAATTGATCTGAGTTACAAGACATGAATATGGTCAAATTGCATGCATTTCTTGGTCTTCTTATGTATACAGCTGCATTCAAGTCCATCCATGAAAATTGTGAGAACCTATTTGCCACTGATGGAACAGGAAGGGATATTCTCAGATGTGTAATGTTGCAGAAGAGGGTTCTGAATCTGTTACTGTGCTTACGGTTTGATAATGAGGCTAACCGAGATGATGAGACCGAGAGAATGATAAGCTGGCTGCAATTTCAAACATATTTAGAATATTTGTAAATAAATTTCAAACCCTGTACAACATTGGAGAGTGTGCAACAATCAATGAAATGTTGATAGCATTCAGAGGTTGTTCCTTTTCTGTTATATATATGCCAAACAAACCATCCAAATATGGTTTGAAAATGATATGTATGTGCTATTCTAAAACTAAATATAAACCTACAATGACTATATTTATTGTAAAAAGGATCTAATGGTGAAACTTTGACAAACAAAGAAAAGAAGTTTCTAGTTCTGTCACAAGCAGTGATTCAATTGACGAAACCCATTCACAACAGTAATTGCAATATAACGTTCAACCAAATAATATACCAATAAACCAATTATTTACATCAATTTAAATGGTAGATGCACTAAAGAAACAAGGCCTGACATTTGTAGGTACTTAAAAAAAAAGAGAACTCCCAAGGAGTTCCAGCCATCTAAAACAAAAGATTTGGGATCTACACTCTATGGATTTACTAACAATATGACTTTGATGTCTCAAGTTCCAAAGAAAGGAAAAGCTGTGTGTTTAATTTCTTCAATGCATGAAAAGACAGGAAAACCTGAAATTACAGCTTATTACAACTCCACAAAAGGAGGAGTTGACAAAATAGACAAAAAATGTTCCATCTACACCTGCAGCCGCCGATCGCAAAGTTGGCACATGGTACTTTAATGTTTTTAGACTTATTTTGTAATAACTTTTATGTGGACATAAGCACAGTGAATGCCTATGTTCTTATCAAGCTGATTGTGCCAATACCATTGATCGGGGACAGTTCATCAAGATCTTGGCGAGAACCACGGTTTTACAACACATGAAGCGCAGAGTTTATAATACTCATATTCCACGTGATATAAAAATCAACTTGATGACTACTCCAAGTTCTAATTTGCCACCTGAACTAAAAAATCCCCAAAACAGACTGAAAACACGGAAAACCTATACTAGTTGTCCTCCTAAACTGAACTGTAAATCGAATTACCAATGATGTCATACGAAAAACATGTGTGTAAACAATAAAAAATACTTAAGTTTGACAGTTGTCATTTTTGAGACATGACACTTGTGATAATAGTTTAATTTTTTTTAAGTTGATTAGTGTTTGAACTTTGTAAAAAAATATGTTATAATTGTGCAGATTTTTATTATTTTATAAGTTATAAGTAATTGTTGATTGCGAGCCCAGTTTTTCGATTATAGAGACCAAAAACTTTGTAACTAACCAATATATAATTAAAAATTATAATATTTAGACTGCATGAAGTTGTCTTAATTTGTACTTTAATATGTAATTTAACACAAAATATACATTAAGATACAATACAATATTTAATATATGTATTATAGACCAGAGCATTGGCCTTTCAGGCAGCTCATCCCCAGTTATGTTACAAAAAAACCACATCACCAGTCAAAGGTTTATATTTAACTAACCATACAATTCTCACCCTTTTAATGAAACTCTGTTGAAACCAATGGTTTTGAGCAACTCTACAATCAAAAGCATTGTTACCGGTCAAACAAAATTTTAGGACAAAGATTTTCCCAGAGTAAACTAGTTGTTCCAGCCATACCGTAACCTATAGTACCTGATATTACCTTTCTTGACAGTATCAAGTCAATATCCTTGATCTAAAATATAAAACATGTGAAGTGTGTATGCTAATGTCAAACAAATAAGAAAAATCACTAAAACTAAGTTTCCAAGCTCTAACTTTGTTCTTGTATGTTAAAAAAGTAGATCTATCAAACAGTAGTCACTTGAATTGCTAAACTTAAATATTTCACCTGATGCTGAGGCACTAACACAGCACATACATTCTATAAATGCCTATAAACATTCTGACTTCCCACAATTGAGTAATGAGCCCCATTTACTAAGAATGTAGAAACAGTGGTGGAACAGCATTATTTCTTAACATAATAACAGCAGGATATTTATTATTATTTAATGAGCAGCTGATAGACTAGACCCTTCCTTATGTTTCATTGTATTTTATTACAATATTGAAAAATAATAATTGTTTATAGGTATATTACTTACCAATGACATCAGCATTGTTAAAATGAGTTGAGAACCATGCATCATCTCCGAATTGACCTTTGAGTGTTCTTCCATTAGCAATATCTTTAGGAAAACCACAAACTACCGAAACTAAATAAGGATGTTTCTTGTTCGAAACGTTTAATTCAGAAGCATTTGTTAAACTCGAGAGTCCATTCCTAAGAGCACGTGATAACACTCTGCCTGTCCAGAATATGGACTGCATCATTCAATGATTATTCTGTACTTTGCTTTCTGGCTCCATTCACAACCAGACAATTATTTGTATTGAAATAATCATTACTGCATGTGCTTACAGAGAATTATGAACACAAATATTATGTAATATCACCATAAAATAAAAATTAACAATTAAATGTCAATATCATCTATAACGTTATTTCAATATAATTTTCAATCACAAACTAAAACTATCAAAATAGTACGAACTACCCACGGAGATTTTTAATACTTCGAAGTAGACTAGGGTAAGGGTACCTAGTTTTCAATGAAGTTCATAGATAAAATAAATTACTTTTTAATTAAAAATGAAGTTCATTGTAAACAAGTGCTGCCAGCGTAATTTGATTGAAAGTTACCTGTTCCAGTTTATAAAAAGTACTCTGTGGTTACTTGGGCATGTTCGAAAATGGTTCGAAAACGTAGACAGAGAAACCCATAGATAAATAAATATGTAGCAAGCTAGAAACCTATAGACTAATGATCGGCGTGGCCTCGAGTGAGAAAGGACGATAACGAATTTTTAGGTTATACGATAATCTTTATGACATTTGAACACATTTAGATAAAATTTTTAATTGTTCTAAGAACTGAACTGAACAAGATTCACCAATCTTAAGCTCACAAAACACTTTTTTCTCACTTAAACCAACTTGTAAACTCCTTAAATCGCTACGCTGTTAAAGTTGTTTAGCGAACTGTAGAGTTTGCTAAACAAAAAAACCAGCACGGAGAAAGGGACAAACAATCACACCGCTTTATCTCATTTCTATGCAAGACGTATGCATAAATCTATCTTTTTCGTGTGCGAATGCGAAAGAAGGCGTCAATTTGTCTATAGGTTTCTCTGTCTACGTTCGAAAAGCTACATATTAATTAAACAAAATGTTTAATTAATATGTAGATTCATACAATAATCAATTAAACAAACAAACGATTCAATTATAAAATTTATTAAATACTAACGTTTTTTCATTGCATCTGTCAAAGTCATCACAAAATGCGTAAAATGAATCGCTAGGCCGGCTGGTGGAGCCGATTGCCCCCATTGTAATACGGTTCGAAAAACCAGAATATGGTCACGCTAATGACCAGAAAATGGTGCGGCGTTAATAGGGCCTCGAGTTCGATTCCCGGGTCAGGCCAAAACCTCATTATGCGGGATCGATTTTCTTGGTGGACTGTATGCGTGGTTCCATGTAACCACAGAGTACCTTTGTATAAACTGAAACATGTAACCTTACAAGGTGGCTGATGTGGCACGTGGCAATCTTGGACAATGCACTCGCTATCCCAATCTATTATTTTGCCAGTGCCCCGAGATGGGTTTCTACCTGAGCTATTAGTAGGGATAAAAAGCAATCTAAAGAGCACTAACCGGGATGGGGTTCCTTCTGCTGGCAGCCTCAAGGACAACGCTCCTGGTGTTGTGAAGCGTTGGAAGAGAGCGATCGACGACAGCGGGCGTCCTTTGCTGGTTCGGCCATTTCTACTACCTCCATCTCGGATGGGCGCGTTCCTTATTGGCCGACAATCACGTCACAATCTAGACCCCCCCCCCTTTTTTTAGTGCGTGTGGAATGGAATGCGTGGATAGGATGAAAAGGGACACTGGCAAACAATAACCGACCGAACAATATGTGAGAGTACCCGTTTCTTTTTCCGCGCAACCATCCCCACCGGATTGAAGGGGGACCCTTCAAAACTAACTAAAGCTAATACTAAACCTAATTTAAGCTACAAATCTAGCCTAGAAAGGCAATTCGAAACTATTGTTTGGGCAAAGGGCATAGGTGGACAACAGGACGCATACGAGTATATGACCCGGCCGAGGTCCTAACGCGCGCTACCCTAGTTACCCCGTCGGATCCGGGAAAAAGCACTTCGACGATCCCCAATGGCCAATGAAGAGACGGCGTATTTTTCTTGGTGAGAACAACTACCGTTCTGACCGTTAAAGGTTTAGTTGTTGTGTTCCATTTCTGCCGAGACTGCAACGTAAATAGATATTCCGTTTTCCATCGCTTCAAAAATGCCTGCACCAGCCGGTCTAATAAGTTATGACAACATTAAGTTTGTCCTCGTCTATGTCTATAGCGGGCAGATGCTTCAAAGGCGTTAAATTGAAAAAATGCGCTGGAGTTAGAGCCAGCGGCTCCGAAGGGTCACTTGACAACGTACGACAAAGGCTATTCATGACGCACTCGATTTGTGCGAGTACGGTGCTTGATTCTTCGAAGGACAAAATTTGATCTCTAATTACTCGGTATAAATGACTCTTTAAACTCTTAATATTAGTCTCCCAATTCCCCCCAAAATGAATCGTGGCAGGGACGTTCAGAGACCACTCAATGCGGTTCTCAGCTAAGATGTGATCGAACTCCGAATTATAATATTCAGAGGTAAGAAATTCGTGTAATTCCGATAAAGTACGTTTCGCGCCTACGTAGTTCGTACCGTTATCCGAATACATTTTACTTACAGGGCCACAGCGAGAAAGGAACCTTTTAAATGCACCCATAAACTTAGCCGTGCTCAGATCACCGGCGAGTTCTATATGCACAGCGCGAAAAGTTAAACATACGAAAATACAAACATACGCCTTCGTAGATCTTATACCATGCCCGCGAGTGAGCGTGACCCTGAACGGATCAGCGAAGTCTGACCCGGTGTGCAGATAAGGCTTTGCATATTGTGTTACACCAAAAGACCTAAGGTCCGCCATTTCCGGAAATGACGGCCTAGGACGCACTCGAAAGCAAGGTATACATCTGTACACTCGATTGCGAATCAAATTACGTGTAGAAAGAATCCAGTAATTCTGGCGCAAAATAGACATCAACGATTCGGGGCCAGCGTGACAATTTAACTTATGGAGGTAATCAACTAGTAAATTCAAAATGTGATCCTAACGCTGCAAAACTATGGGATGCCGTTGATCGAAGCTCAAATGTGAGTTAAACAAGCGCCCACCTACTCTAAAACTACTTGAAAAGCTACAAGTCCAATTGAGTGTAATTTTGTAATTTCATCGGAAAAGTGCACACGTTGAAGTTCACGTAATATTAGCAACTCGGCATAACTATAATCGGACGCAACGATATATGGACGTCGTAGTAGAAGCTTCGCAAACCGACAAACGTAAAGCACGCTACGCAATAATTTCGACCAAGAGGAGAAACGGTTTGCCAAAGCAATGATTGGAGAAACCTCACTCGAAGCATTCACAACCAGAGCGTGCCTCTTCTCTTCCAGTGGTTGGGATACTGACGAAGGGTTAAAATCAGCTATGGGCCACTACGAGGGTTCCAAGTGAATCCAAGAAGATCCTTGAAACCAAAGCGGGTGCTCTATTATTTGTATCGGAGTGAGTCCACGAGATAGACAATCGGCAGGGTTTTCTGTACCGGACACATGATAGAAATTCTGTGATCCTAACTCGTCTAGGATCTTGGCCACTCAGTTCGCGACGAACGTATCCCATCGATAGGTGGTGAAGAATGAACCTAAAATAAGGCAACGGTTGAAAAGGCAAATATTTTATCTATGTGAACTCGATCACTACATGCACTAGTAACCGCGATAATATAAGCTTGGCAAGGATCATAGTTGCGAAAAGCTCTAGGCGCGCGAGAGAGACAACCTTACAGGGGGAAACCCTTAATTTAGAGCTAATGAGGCTGATCGAATTCTTACCATTGTTCTGGACATGAAAATATACAACTGCCCGTAAGTTTTCTCGTTAGCATCCGGAAACCCCACGACAGTGACGACGCTTGATCTTTAACGACGTTCATATGACGTGGTATTTTAATTTCGCTTTGAAAAGTTCCTCCCTAAAACGTAGCCACGAACGAACAATGTCATCAGGCGGCGTGTCATCCTAATCACATTCACGTAACCAAAGTTGTTTAATCAAAAGCTAAGCGTATAACACCACCAGTGCAACAAAACCCATGACATTCCATAATCGAGCAACGCATGACAGTATCGTGCGCTTTGTGCACGTTTCCGCAGGCGGGTTTATTTTAAGGATAAGCACTTCGGACTCTGGTACTCAACGCAAACCGAGCAACTTGTGCGTAACAGAATCGTCGAATTATTTTACATACGAAAGACGGTGTGATAGTGAGATTGTATCCAAAACCGTACGCAAAATACTAGTCCACTTCATCATCATCATCATTACTGCCCTTCACAAGTACATTGCTGAACATAGGCCTCCCCCATTGGATCGCTACTCACATTTGCGCGTGGCTTCGGCGATGACGTGTACAGCCGCCTATAGAACCTCTCAATCTCGCTCAAAATCTCAGGTGTCCCGGAAACGATGCTGCCACACTTGGTCTTTAGCTTTGACAGTTCGCTCTTTCTGACAGACAGATTCCAAAGACAGGCAAAGACTTTGAAGCCTTGGGTCCGCTAGATCACTTCTTCAATACAAGCTGTACTGAAGTTGGGTAAGTCCCACCGCATGTATTTGGAGATCTGTCTGTTCAGTTGCCTGTATACTGCCAAATCTGCTGAAGACTGCACCTTCATTTCCCGTCTAACAGCCATGAGATTAGGAGTGTAATTGGAGAGTTTTCGTGTTCCTCTGCGGCTGGTCTTGCTGAACTTAGCTCCGACCGCATGGACAGTTTCCATGAGCTTGTCATTCATATCTTCCACTGCATTGCAATCTTGAAGGCACTGAAAACGGTTTTGTAATTCGAGCTGAAAGGTTTCGGGACTTTCGATTAGAGCATGAGGGGGATGGAGCGTTGACTTCATTAGACGAGACCTCTCCAACTTAACGTTTAAGTTAAGTGTGCCTGGAACCATTCGGTGATCGCTGCCAGTTTTCACCCTCGCGATAACTGAGACACCACTGAATAGTTGGTGTGTGGCCGTCATAATGTAATCTCATTTTTTGTAGAACCGTCGGGGCTCGACCAGGTCCACTTCCTGTGGGGCCGCTTCTGGAAGAAAGAGTTCATCATATAGAGTCTCTCTTTCTCTATGAAGTCGTTCCCTACATTCAGCTCACCGTTCTTTCTTTTTGTGTCCTTGTGCGTAACAGAGTAGTATATTATGTTATAATCATAATACATACACTGAATTTTATGCACTGATTATTTATCTCTTCTCTTTCTCTGCCAAGAGAAGGCGGTGAGCTGAAGTTAGGGAAATTTGGAGTAGGGCAACGTAATCGTAGGGACCAGCAAGCTGGCTGACGTTATGGAGAAAGAGGGACTCTTTATGATGAACTCTTTCTTCCAGAAGCGGCCCCACAGGAAGTGGATCTGGTCGAGCTCCGATAGTTCGACAAAAAATGAGATTGACTTCATTATGACGACCAGACGCCAACTGTTCAGTGATGTCTCAGCGATCGCAAGGGTGAAAACCGGCTGCGATCACCGAATGGTTAGAAGCACACTGAACCTATACGTTAAGTTGGGGAGGTCTCGTCTAATGAAGTAAACGCTCCGTCCCCCTCGTGCTCTAATCCAGAATCCCGAAACCTTTCAGCTCGAGTTACGTAACCGCTTTCAGTGCCTAAAAGATTGCAATGCAGTGGACGATATGAATGACAAGCTCGTGGAAACTGTCCATGCGGTCGGAGCTAAGTTCTGCAAGACCCGCCGCAGAAGAATCAAAAACTCTCCGATCACACTCTTAATCTCATGGCTGTTAGACGGGAGATGAGGCTGCAATCGTCAACAGATTTGAAGCATACAGGAACTGAACAGACAGATCTCCAAATGCATGCGGCGAGACTTACGCAACTTTAATTCTGCTCGTATTAAAAAAGCGATCGAGCGGAACCAGGGCTCCAAAGTCTTTGCCAGAGATCTGTCTGTCAGAAAGAGCCGACTGTCAAGGTTGTAGACTGAGTGTGGCAGCATCGTTTCCGGGACACCTGAGATTTTGAGTGAGATTGAGAGGTTCTATGGGCAGCTGTACACATCATCGTTGGAGCCACACGCAAGTGTGAGTAACGATCCAAGAACAAGTCTTATCCAACACTATTCCGATGATATCCCGGACGTCAGTCTGAGCGAGATAAGAATGGCTCTCCAGCACCTTAAAAACGGCAGGGGCCCCAGGCGAGGATGGAATTACAGCGGAGCTTCTGAAAGCGGGTGGAAAACTGGTACTTGAAGTCCTTTAGAAGCTCTTCAATTCTGTCCTCCATGGTGGCACTACTCCGGAGGCGTGGAGCAGAAGTGTATAGTGGTCGAATTCGAGCCGGATTTCAATTCGACTTACGACGTTCCTGTGCCGCGCGATAATACAAAAGGAGTGGTCGAGCGACGAGCTTAGAACAAAAGAAGATGTTTGCGTAAACAAGTTTTTATGCACGTTTAATGCACCATATGGCATCGAGTTGTAGATTGGAAAGAAATAAATTATTATAACACGGAAATAAGAAACAACATTCGAGTTTATATACGATAGTTTTATCTACTTATACCGAAAATGGCTAGTACACCGGAACAAATACTAAATGTGTTAGAAGATACAGCTATAGTGTTAGGAAAAATGCAGCAAATTTAAAGAAATGTCCAAAACAACGTCTAACAAGGGGTTACATAGAAACACTTATTAAAAGAATATTGGTCTACATATAAAAGGGCACATGAAGAATTAGTGAAGTGTGTTCCAAAACCGAAACGACAAGATATTCCGTATTTCGTTAATGAAGAATATTTTGTTCAGGAAGATTTATATATTTGTATATTAGCCGATCTTAATGATTTATTATTTTCGCTTAACAAGTTATCGTCTTCCACACCTTTGCAAGTTAATAATAATAATTCGGGTTCTTCTAAAGAAATGAATGTCAAGTTACCAAGGATTCAAATTCCAACTTTCTCGGGAATTTACGATGAGTGGCCTGCTTATCAAGATTTGTTTACATCATTAGTGCATAATAACACATCATTAAGCAACGTACAGAGGTTACATTATTTGAAAGGAAGTCTTACGGGAGAAACCCTGTTACTTTTGAAACACGTTCAAGTCATCAATGCTAACTATGAAATATCGTGGAACATGCTTAAAGAGCGTTTTGGCAACAAACGGATTATCATTAATTCAATATTAAAAAGATTGCTTACCCAAAGAAAATTTAGTGTACAAACGGCAAGTAACCTCAAATTTATTTTGGATACTACAACAGAATGCCTGAATGCATTCAAAAATCTTGGGCTGTCAACGAACTCCTGGGATCCACTCATTATATTTTTATTTGTACAAAAATTGGACCCATAGACGCACCATGATTGGGAAGAAGATGCTTACAAGGATAATGCTGAAAACTTACCTACATGGGACGCACTCAATAAATTTTTACAGTTACAATGCCGCACTCTTGAGCTTGTCACGTCACCAACCAGAGAAAGACCCACACCTAGAGGAAGGGAATACGCTGTTCACTTATTTACGAGTACTAATCATTCTGCGACTTCTACGAAACTAAAAGTTTGTGCTATGTGTAACGAAAATCATACATTGTGTCACTGTGAACAATTAATCAAGCTAAGCCCAAGAGAGAGATGTGATTACATAAAGAAACATAATCTGTGCTTTAATTGTCTGCCCCTGGTCACTCTGCACGACGATGTCGCCTGAAGATGTCCTGTAGAACATGTCACAAACGTCGTCACACGCTCACGCACCATTTCACGCCTATGATGTCATCAAGCCAGCCAGACAATTACAAGAATCAAGACAAACATAACGATGTTGAAGATCATCAATCTTCTGCACAATCAGCCGAATCCAATGTCACACTTTCATCACATATCGATTCTAAGGTGTCCACTACATTACTGGCCACAGTACTCATAATAGTAAGAGGTTACGATTCAAAACAAATGACAGTGTTACGCGCATTGATTGACCACGGCTCCCAGGCTACATTTATGAGTGAAAGAGCAGCCCAGATGTTACGATTAAGGAGAACGCCTATCAATGGCACTATCACTGGCGTTGGCTCTACTAAAACAAACGTTAAATATGCTGCAGAAATTGAACTTCTCTCAAGGCACGACCCAAGCTTCAACATAAGAATCAAAACATGCATAATGTCAACACAACTGACGACCCAACTGCCGACTCAAACTATCTCTACAAGCTACTGGCCGCACTTGCAAGGACTTGTATTAGCTGACCCAAGCTATAATCAACCAGGACGAGTAGATCTATTACTAGGGGTCGACGTGTGTGCTCAAATAATGAAAAGCGAGGTTATCAAGGGACCCCCAGGAACACCTTGTGCTCAAAATACGACCCTGGGTTGGATTCTGTTTGGGAGCGTGGAAGACAAACCAGTCGATAAATTGATTGTTATGCACCATAATCTTGATCTAAACGACATGCTTAAACGAATGTGGGAACAAGATGCATACGATAAAGTAATACCTACAGCAGAACGAAGTTAAGAGGAAATCTACGAAACCACAACTGTCAGAAATAATGACGGACGTTACATTGTGACACTACCCAAGAAACCTAAAATGTTATTATCAACCCAAGGAAACACGCGAACAATAGCTCTGCAGAGACTTTATCAATTAGAACAAAGATTCAAGAAAAACCCAAAACTAAAAAACGATTATGCTACGGTTATGAAGGACTACGAATCAAATTACATGGAAGAGGTACCCAGACACGAAATGAACAATCCATCGATTTACTTACCGCATCATGCTGTTGTTAAGGAAGAAAAGGAAACTACAAAAATTAGAACAGTATTTGATGCATCACAAAGAGGAACCAACAACATCTCACTCAACGACGAGCTGTTGGTGGGTCCACAGCTACAAGGAGACATGAGAAGTCTTATAATGAGATGGCGGATGAAAAGAATCTGCTTTGTAGTGGATATGCAAAAAATGTATCCCCAAATCATGGTCACGAAAGAAGACAGGGATCTGCAACGAGTACTTTGGAGATATGATCCTGTCAAGGACTACCGACTTACCAGAGTCACGTTCGGAACTGCTTCTGCTCCTTACTTGGCAGTAAGGACCTTGCACCAAGTAGCTCATGACGAAGGCCAAAACTATCCCAATGCAGCAAAAATATAAAGAGGAATTACTTCATGGATGATATGATGTCTGGGAAAGACAACCTCGCCGATGCTTTCAGACTAGCCAAAGACGTAGACAGATTACTAGAGAAGGGAGGCTTCAAATTAAAAAAATGGCGTTCTAATGATGCAGACTTCTTAAAGGAATTTGAAGAGTCAGAAAGGAGTTCTCATGATAAACTGGACATAACATTAGACGGGATTACACGAGCGTTAGCACTACACCGGAACATGGGCGAAGATCTATTTCAATACACGGGCAGTCAAACCTACCTGCTACGGAAAATATAATCAAAAAATTATGGCTGCAAGGAGTAGCATGGGAAGAAGAGGTAGACGAAACGATTGCTGCAGAATAAAACAATATACGAAATTCGTTTCATATGTACCTACCTGATATCGAAGTAAACAGAAGGCTAAATACTACTGAAGCCACACTAAACAATGTTACTATCCACGGATTCTGTGGTGCATCATCTCGAGCTTACGCTGCAGTAGCCTACCTAAGAGTAAGAATAGAAAGCGGTGAAGTGAATACATCAATCATCGCTGCTAAAACCAAAGTTGCACCTACAAAACCACAATCCCTACCTCGTCTGGAACTAAGTGGGGCTATACTGCTTGCTGGTCTAAAACAGATAAAGGAATCAATGAACGTACCTGCCTGTCAGATATTTGCTTGGACTGACTCAACCATTGTACTCCCGTGGTTGTTTGGTAATCCTGAAAAATGGAGCACTTACGTGAGAAACAGGGTTGTTGAAATACTTGACACAATCGGCAATCATAATTGGTATCATGTCAAATCGCCAGAAAACCCAGCTGACTCCGCTTCACGAGGGCAATCATTGCAAGAGCTAAAAAATGATGAACTGTGGTGGAAGGGCCCAGATTGGCTGAGAGTGGAGGAGGAGGAGGATTGCGACAAGTTGCAAGAATTGCTTAAGGTGATTATATTATATATCTAAAAGATTCTTGAAGGGAAAGAAAATGGAATACAAAAACTTACCTGTGACCACGACGGAACTTAATGATGTGCTAAAAACCTGCATAAAAATAACTCAGAGGGACAGCTTCGAAAAGGAAATACAGCACCTGAAATCAAAGGAACAAACTAAGAGCCAGTAAACTAAAGAGTTTAAAACCTTACCTGGACGATGATAACATCCTCAGGGTGGGCGGCCGACTGCGTCACTCGTGTATACAGTGTAAAAAGTGGTGCTAGTGTCGTGCAAAGATCTGTAAATAAGCTGTGTTATTTTATTTATAACTAAGGCAAATTGTATTTATCTATATTCTATATGTGTTGGCGACGCGCCTATAAGGATATTTCAGTTTATTAAGTCAACCGATGACCAATAACGTCTCAAAGGCATATTGTCCAATAGCAATGTTCTAATAAGAAAATGCTTAGTTAAATCTTGAAGAAATGTCGAATTAAAGATATGAAGGTCTTGGGTTCGACTCCCAGGCTGGACTAGTTTATTGTTTTCCTAAGTAATATCTTTCAATAAATTCATATAGAGAATTTTAAGATATAAATTATGTTACCGGATTGGTTCCCCGGTTGAAATCATCTTTCCAATGATGTAAATTTAAAAGAATAATTAAATAAAGTTAAAGATCGGATTTGTTCCCCGGTCGAGATGATCACTCTGTGCATAAATAGAATTAACGGAAATTAATTGCATAAGTATTGTCTTATATAAGTTTGATATGTTTTGTACGAAAACAAATGCCTATTTGCCATGATTGATTTATGAGAACATTCACTTATATTGTTATCTGATAAGAAACATGATAACTGATAAGAATCTGATTAGAAATAGTTTCCTACAGTTTGAAAATTGTGTAGATGCATTTATTCACCCAATATTGTTAAAATTGGTGTATATCAGACTTTCATTTTTTCTGATAGCCGAGAGCCGTGCAAAAGTTAGTTGTTCAAATAGTGTGAGTTCATAGACGCACGCTGGCCACGCCCTTAGGAGGCCGAATATGTAAAAATTTAAAATGTTTGTAATTTCAGCAATTTATGTAAAAATGACTTGTAAAACATTTCAGGTTGATTGTACGTGCTAAAAAGGTGAATTCTGTGTTATTTTTATGTGAAAATTCCTGTGTATAAGTGAAATAATGATGGTTTTGTATAAGAAATTTAAAAGTGTTTTGAATGGTGAAATAAATAGAGAAAATGTAAATTAAACTATTGTATTAGTTAACTTATGTATAATTTCAAGTGGAAAACATTGTTTTAACTTTCTGTGTTAAATATTTAAGAAATTTCGACTTCGAACTTGTGAGTAAAATAGGCATATTTCATTTAATAAATAAAAGGTTTTTCGTGATATGAAAATGTAATGTATATCGTAGTGTAGATATTGCTTTGTGCTATCTATATAGATAAATTGTATTGATGTAAGACTTATGCAAATAAAGAAATTAAGTAAAACGTGAGAGAGTAATAGAACAAATTCATGTAATTGAGTTGCGTAAGCGCGCGAATGGCGCGGCTCACTTTCGCGTATAGCTCTGGGGTAGCTTAGTGAACGGGTTTTATTGCAATTCGTTCGGGAATCCTTCGAGATAGTTCGGGGAAAAAGTTCGGAAATCATACCAGCAGTCAATAAGAAGAAGAAAGTAAAAAGTGTAGGGAAGTGATAGGGAAAAGTGATTACTCTCTCACGGAATGGTTTGAAGATAATTGCTGTTTTATTCCCAAGAAATTCATCCCTCAAAATTATACAGTCCACATCGAAGAATTAAGGCGTTGGGACCGGGACGACTTCGGAAGACCCGTAATCCCCGTCTGAACCTACTTGCTGAAAAGGAAGAGGTTATCGCCCTTGTGTGTTACTCCGTTGCGGAGATCACATACGTTGTTCCCGAACCCAACGTAGGCGTTATAGGAGGCCGGATCGAGAGAAGCCTCGATTCCTCCCTTCTGTTTCTTAGTTGAACGTTTGAATAAGCTGGGTTCCTTTTCAATTGGTCCTTCGCGGCCGGATTGAGAGGACGCCCGAACCTGGGTTCCTTTTCAATATGTCGACGGTGAAGTGCCAATATCATCTAACTGCTGAAGTTAGAATATTACACAAAACGAAAAAAACGTTTAATTATTTAACTGATTTAAAATTTTGGAATATTTTTATTTATTGTGATTAAGAATAATTAATTATTTGTTTCTAATGACATTTCGTTATGTAATACGATAGTGTTGTAGGTATTTGGTTAGTTAGGAGGTATTAACTTTTCATTTATTTATTTTTTGTAATAACTTAAGATACTTAGATTATAATGGCTTTGACAAATACATTAAATATTTTGAAACAAATAGTTTATTTTGTTTATAAACACACAATTGTCATGACCTCTAACAAAAACAACCTAATCTAATTAGTTTGAATGTAAGGAATACAATGTAGGTAATACAAAAGTAGGTATGCAATCAAATGACAATGAAATAAAAAGTTGTTAAAAGATCACTCATGAGGTAAAGTATCATAAAACAAGTGGCAATCTCTTGGTAATACTTCTTTTAACTGTTGAAGGTGATTGAATTTAGAAGAAGCTAAGGGAATCGGTGTGGCATGCAAAGGTGTATACTGAATTGAATTTAGTTTTCTCGGTCTTACTGGTAGCTCTGACCAATCATCATCAAAGTTAATTTTGTAGAAAATAGTGCCTTCTGGAGTATACTGGATGACTCGCAGTTCAACAACAAGAGGGTCTCCAGCTTTTCGACCCGGTCTTATGCTGCTGTACCTCCATGTCAATTTATTGCTATAATCCTTAACAAAATCATAATTGATCATAATAGCTTCATACGGAGCAGGCTTTATTCGTGCCTCCTTCGTCACAGTAATATAGTCACTGGGAAGATGTATCTCCCTATTTTTTAACTTTCTTTCAATTGCAGCATGTACTGAGTCACACTCCATTTGAGTATGACCAGGCTCTAAGTATTTCTGTGTGATAGATACTTCGTGTTCAATACTCATGTTCAACAAAGCATTTGCCATGATATTATTCCTATTTTGATAGGTGCACCCATCTGAGTAAATAACTATGGGTAATCGTTTGGGCAAACAATATCTCTTGAGGTAATCGCATACAAAAGATGTGAAGGTACTAGCAGTTAGATCCGCGCATGTTTCATCAAACCAATAACAGGAGGCTTGATGGGTTACCAGATCATAAATTGTAAAATTATGACAGGTAAGTTTTGTCTTAAAGTAAAGGGCACTAGCAGTTATATAAGGACATACTTTTACAGACTCTAAATCCATAGACAGCAAAATGAATTCACCAGATGTAGCTTTCTTTTTATCGGTTTCCTTTTCCTGCCTCGCTCTATTTTTGCGTCTAATATGATGTTCATAATCGGTTGTATTAATGTTTCCTACTACATGTCCACTGCAGATGTCGCACATGTCTTTTTTCAACGTGTATAAAGAGAGATTCTTATCGTGAAACAGTTTCTGGAATGTGAAACGAGAAAGCACAGGCTCTTCGTTTTGAGTACAGTGTTCTTTATACTGTCTATATAAATCATTCAAAGAACGGTAAATTGGTTCTAAATATAACTTTGACGAGTCTTTTCTAGCATAGTGAGACGGTAGCTTGGGAATGTTATCTAAAAAGCTACGGGTGGTTAAAAGTTTTCGCAGAGTTCCAGATCGTGGCGTTTTAACCCTGGCCATATTTTGAACTTCCTGACAAGGAATTACTCTATTACGCGACTTTTTAACCCAAGATTGCACGGTGTATGAACCAAGACACAAAGTATTCAAAAATGTGGTTCTGCATACCTGTAAATTTTGGTATTCGTTAATTGGCAAAAAATAATCAAACGTACCTTCTCGCCTGGATGCCTGACCACTTGTTTTGCGTGTCGTTTCTTTACGGGTTATGAGTCCGGTTACATACACTTTGCGCTGGTCCCAGTTCATATTTTTCCAGAAACTATTGTGTATCTCATAACGCTTTTCATGATCAAATTTTTCGCAATTTCGCAGCTTACTCTTTCTGCAAAACTGCGAATAGCATCTATCGCCTAATTGTCTAGCAGGTCTTACTTTGTCCTGTTTGAGTTTTCTATTTTTCGGCTTTGAGTATCCCAGATATTCTTGTCCTAACATACGAAGCTTTTTATTTTTTATTTTCTTCCAATTCTGTGGATCACCTTTAATTTGGCGTTTTCTTCCTTCGCTCGTATTACCGTGATAGATACCCGATGATGTGGATGGTTCATCAAAAAGTAACTGCGAACTAGAATTACTCGAAGCTCGATCAGTGTCTGAGGGACAATAAATTACGTCAGTGTCATCACCCGAATAGTCCCCATCGTAGGAGCTAGTTTCGACTATTAGGTTAGAAGGTTCAGGTTCTATCATCTGAGTATTTTCGTTAATACTGAAATATGAAGGTGGAATTGAGTAACATCTTTTCCTGCCAAATTCTTTGGTATCATCGCAAGTGAGAGCCGACATCGATAAACTACGTCCTCTATCGACAGAACAAATATCACTGTAAATATGAAAATCTTTTTGTTTTCGATACTGTACTGTAATTGTAGGTGGAACAGAAAAACAACGTCGTTGATTCATTGAATGGTTATACTTTGGTATGTTTGAAAGTGAATACGATTTAGTGACTTTTCTCTTCTTTGGTCTAAGGTAGTCGTTCGTAGAGGCTTTTGTTTTCTTTTCAGGTAATAATTGCTCAGGCATATCTAAAAAGATGATAAACAGTGATAATAAAAACTTTGGAACACGCAAAATTCTAAATTCATCCCTTAGAGTCAAACCCAGAATTTGACTGTCACAGAAATTATAGTTCAGTTCAAAAAATTTACCTGAGTTAGATGAAGATGTTTGAAGCTGCGTGTTGTTCGCAAGTCCCCTAAGTATGTTCAATATTTGTCTAGCTCGGACTCCCTGATAACGCTTTGCCATTCGCGACATTATACTGAAATATAAGTAAAACAATACCTCCTAATTACATCAACAAAAGAAAAAAGTAAGAGAAATATATCCTATCTACAACAAAAACAATTAAAAAGTTTAATAACTGCAATTAAATGTATAAATAATGTATCCCTGTCGTAAAATATACTTCTTATTCTTACCTGTTATACTTTTGACCTCGTCAATACTACTAACACCATTAACAAAATATTTTATTTAATAATTCAGGCACTCGTAATTAAAACTATAACTTCTAGACGTAGTTATTGCTGCGAACTGACTTTTAAGACTGTAGGACCGTTCTTCCGCCCCTCCCGCATTCGCCCACTGTGCGGGCTATACGCCGCCACAGAAGAAATCACAATTTGTCACACGGACGCAAATAATGATCACGTATAGACGAGTATTTTAGAAGTTAGGAGGTAATGTCATAATAAAGATACGATGATTTAGTTAGAAGGTATTTCCAGATTGTGATAAATCTTGTTGTAGTTAAAAAATCAATTCAGAAGTTTTACTAAGACATGCGAATTCGAACTTTAAATATAAATGTATCAAAAAGTAAATTTCCCGAAAAATGTCAGATAGGAGGTATTGGCACTTCACCGTCGATGTATAATTTAATTAATTGTGTACAGATTTTGTGTCTTTATTTTTTCTTTGTGTTATCTTTGAGTCTATTGTAACTAAAACTTGTAACGTGTAATAAAATTGTTAAAGGGCTCATAGGCCCTTTGGTGGGCGGTATGTTCAGATATAATGATCTATACGAGCGTAAGAGTGAGCGTAAGTGTGAATACATATGCATGTGTATATAGGTTTAATATTTAAAAGTATAATTTATTCAATCAGTTGCAAATAAATCATCAAGTAGTAAACACGTCTTTCTGTGAGCACATACTCTTACAAACGAAAGTGAACCTTAACATCTATTACATAGTGGTACATAGTGGTCTTGTTCTTTAAGAAAGGCGACAACGCTCTCTTGAAGAACTGCAGACCAATTTCCCTTCTGAGCCGCGTCTACGTGCTGTTTTCGAGAGTCTCGCACGCAGACTCGACGACTTCCAGCCTCCCGAACAAGCCGGTTTCCGGAAAGGCTTTAGTACCATAGACCACATACATACTACGGTAAATTTAACAAAAGTCCGAAGAGTACAATCTGCCACTTTGCCTGGCGTATGTGGACTATGAGAAATCCTTTGATTCCGTCGAAATTTGGGCGGTGCTACAGTCTCTTCAGCGGTGCCAAGTTGACCGTCGGTATATCGAAGTGCTGAAGTGTTGTACAGTAATGCTACGATGGCTATCCGAGTACAGAACCAGAGTACGAAACCTATCCAACTGCAGAGAGGTGTAAGACAGGGTGACGTTATATCCCCGAAACTCTTCACCGCTGCATTGGAAGACGTTTTAAAGCTACTGGACTGGAAAGGATACGGTATTAACATCAATGGAGAGTATGGCTCAGGACCGTACTTTGTGGCATTACTTGGGGGTGGCCTATGTTCAGCAGTGGACTTGTGAAGGGCTGTAATGATGATGTTGATGATGAAACAATACGATAAGGCACATAGCGACATATCATTAAAACGACGTCAATTAAAAAAGTTGGTAGGTACTAATTATTTCTTTAATATTTTGTTTTGTTGGAAATTAAATTAGTGATAAAAAAACTATACACATTGTAATGAAATAAAGATAACTTCAAAATTCTTCGGATTTACGTAAAAGGTTAATTTACATCGTGTGAGTACGTTTGTGCAAATTTATTGCGGAATTATAAATTAGGTTTCTCTGTCTACGGATTAATGTGAAACGTCAAAAGGTATTTCTTAGATACGTTAGTAGTCTTATTAGTTTGTGTTCTTAGAATTTGGTTGACTATAATAAGAGTATGTATACAACCATAGATATATGGAGTTTATACTAAATCCAACTATAAATCTATATACACAAACTAATTAGAGTACTAACGTACCTATATTTAAAATTTCGGGGGGATTTCAACAGGCTACTTCAGTAGCGCTACACATTGCCATTTTGCTTATTTAATTTGTTTGTTTTGAAGTAGAGTTTATAGTTGTTTTGTGCTTTGTTTTTATAATACTATAACATATACATGTTATTATATTTTTTTTTTATTTTACTTGGGAGAGCGCGCGCTTTTTTCTGCCAAACGCACCCAGAGAAACCTATAGACTAATGATCGGCATGCCCTCGAGTGTGAAAGGACGATAACGAATTTTTAGGTTATACAATAATGTTTATGACTTTTAAACACATTTAGATAAAAATTTTATTTGTTCTAAGAACTGAACTGAACAAGATTCACCAATCTTACGCTCACAAAACACTTTTTTCTCACTTAAACCAACTCGTAAACTCCTTCAATCGCTACGCTGTTAAAGTTGTTTAGCAAACTGTAGAGTTTGCTAAACAAAAAAACCGGCACGGAGATAGGGACAAGCAATCACACCGCTCTATCTCATTTCTATGCAAGACGTATGCATAAATCTATCTTTTTCGTGTGCGAATGCGAAAGATGGGGTCAATTTGTCTATAGGTTTCTCTATCTACGTATAAAATCATAACCATAGATTATAACCATAGAGTGGGATATATGTTGGAGAAGGCCAGAGGCGTTGTAGAAGAGAGCTCAGCGTTCGATTCTAATAAAATTCGGCTTTTTTGTCTCTAATGCCGATTTAGAATATATCATTCTTGTTTTAAACAGTTGGTTTATTGCTGTTTTACTTAGAAAAACCTCAAAGAAGGCTTAAAACTGGTGTTCGATAAATCCCTTGGCAATATGCCTGCCGTGAGAGGAGATGGAATGCGAGGACTTGCAGTCTTTATATCTGATATCAGAAATTGCAAGAGTAAAGAAGCGGAAATAAAGAGGATTAACAAAGAATTGGCGAACATAAGAAGTAAATTCAAGGGTGACAAAACTCTTGATGGGTACCAGAAAAAAAAGTACGTTTGTAAACTCTTGTTTATCTTCCTGTTAGGTCACGATATCGACTTCGGTCATATGGAGGCAGTCAATTTATTATCTTCTAATAAATATTCCGAGAAACAGATCGGATACCTATTTATTTCTGTTTTGGTAAATACCAATAGTGACCTCATTAAACTCATCATTCAGAGCATTAAAAACGATCTACAGTCTCGCAATCCGATTCATGTAAACCTCGCATTACAATGTATTGCTAACATTGGTAGTAAAGATATGGCTGAAGCTTTTGGCACAGAGATTCCCAAGCTACTTGTATCTGGAGATACTATGGATGTGGTCAAACAGTCTGCTGCTCTTTGTCTTTTAAGGTTATTCCGAAAATCACCAGAAATAATTCCTGGAGGCGAGTGGACATCAAGAATTATTCATTTATTGAATGACCCTCATATGGGTGTTGTGACAGCGGCTACATCCCTTATCGATGCACTTGTTAAGAAAAATCCAGATGAGTATAAGGGGTGTGTTACTTTGGCTGTTGCTCGATTAAGCAGGATTGTTACAGCTAGCTACACTGACTTACAGGATTATACATATTACTTTGTACCAGCTCCATGGCTGTCGGTGAAGTTATTACGTTTACTACAAAATTACACACCACCATCTGAAGAACCTGGAGTTAAAGGTCGTTTGACAGAATGCTTAGAGACAATTTTTAATAAGGCACAAGAGCCACCAAAATCAAAAAAGGTTCAACATTCTAATGCTAAGAATGCTGTTTTATTTGAAGCAATAAGTCTTATCATTCATAATGACAGTGAAGCGAATTTGCTTGTTCGTGCATGTAATCAGCTTGGTCAATTTCTTAGTAACCGAGAAACAAACTTGAGATATCTGGCACTTGAGTCTATGTGCCATCTTGCTACCTCTGAATTTTCACATGAAGCAGTGAAAAAACACCAAGAAGTTGTTATCTTGTCTATGAAAATGGAGAAGGATGTGTCTGTTAGACAGCAGGCTGTGGATTTGCTTTATGCAATGTGTGACAAAACAAATGCAGAAGAAATTGTTCAAGAGATGTTGGCCTACTTGGAGACTGCAGATTATTCCATCAGGGAAGAAATGGTTCTGAAAGTTGCCATCTTAGCAGAAAAATATGCTACAGATTTTACTTGGTATGTTGATGTTATTTTAAACTTAATCAGAATTGCAGGAGACTATGTCTCAGAAGAGGTTTGGTACAGAGTTATACAAATTGTTATAAACCGAGAAGAAGTGCAGGCTTATGCTGCTAAAACTGTATTTGAAGCATTACAAGCACCTACTTGTCATGAGAATATGGTTAAAGTTGGTGGTTACATACTTGGTGAATTTGGAAATTTGATTGCTGGTGACACTAAATCATCACCCCAAGTACAATTTGAATTACTTCATTCCAAGTATCATTTATGCTCTGCAGCAACACGAGCTCTTTTGCTTTCGACATACATTAAACTTGTGAATTTATTCCCAGAAATTAAAAATAGAGTGCAAGAAGTTTTTCGTGCAGACTCTAATTTGAGATCAGCTGATGTTGAGTTACAACAGAGGGCTTCAGAATATTTACAGTTAAGTATTGTCGCTAGTTCTGATGTTTTGGCTACTGTTCTAGAAGAAATGCCTGCCTTCCCAGAAAGGGAATCTTCTATACTTGCTGTTTTGAAAAAGAAAAAACCTGGCCGTATCCCTGATGAAGTAAGGGATTCTAAAAGCCCACAACCTTCTATAACACCAGCAGTGCCAATAAATTCAACAAACAACACAAATAGTTCAAGTGCTGACCTGCTTGGTTTGTCTACTCCCCCTGGTACAATAGCTACCACTGGTAATGGCTTACTAGATGTACTTGGTGACTTGTACACCACACCTAAAATAAGTCCCAACACAGTTCAACAGAATAACATTAAGAAGTTTCTCTTCAAAAACAATGGTGTTCTTTTTGAAAATGATCTGATCCAAATAGGAGTCAAAAGTGAATACAGACAAAATTTGGGCAGAATTGGTTTGTTTTATGGTAATAAAACACAATTCCCTATACAGAATGTTCACCCTGAGCTACACTGGACAGATTTAAATAAACTTAATGTGCAAATGAAACCTATGGAACCAGTATTAGAAGCAGGTGCTCAAATTCAACAAATGTTAACTGCTGAATGCATTGAAGATTTTACTGATGCTCCAGTAATGTCAGTATCTTTTTCATATAATAATGTACCACAAAAAATAACTATGAAACTTCCTCTCACTTTGAACAAGTTTTTTGAACCAACAGAAATGAATGGCGAATCTTTCTTTGCAAGATGGAAGAATTTAGGGGGTGAACAACAAAGGGCACAAAAAATATTCAAAGCTCAAGGTTCTATTGATTTAGCAGCAACACGCACTAAACTTGCTGGTTTTGGTATGCAGCTTTTGGATGGTATTGATCCTAATCCTGATAACTTTGTTTGTGCTGGAATTGTGCACACACGTATACAGCAGGTAGGATGCCTCATGAGATTAGAACCCAATAAACAAGCTCAAATGTTCAGGCTCACTGTTAGATCTAGTAAAGAATCCGTGTCCCAAGAAATATGTAATCTGCTGGCAGATCAGTTCTAAAAAAGGGCTTACAAATCATGTCAATAATTATAAATCTTTTAGCCTATTTAAGTAGCAATGAATTAACAAAAGATCACTGAGTGCAATGTTTGTGTTTATCAATTTTGTACTGATTCCATATGAAATCTCTTGTGTATAGTTTCATATTTTATTAGCATAGTTATTATGGTAGATATTTTGTTAATTTTTATTTAATTTGAGATTGTATACAAATAGAACATGATGAAATGATAAGATGATATTTTACATTGAAAAAAGTAATATGATACTCTGATATTTTTTGTGTTCTATTTGATAAAATATCAATAAGGACCATGTTTTGTGGCATTCCTTGAGGGTGACCTATGTTTTGCAGTGGAATAGTGATATGCTTTACTGATGATGATGTTGATAAATGAAGTTTTTTTTTCATACTGCATTTTATGGTAATATACCAAATTGTTAGATTATTTGTATATAAGTTGAATATATTACATTCAGTCTAAAATATATTATAAACTTTACAAATTTGTATAGATTTGTAATTTGTAACATACCAAAGTTAAAATGCAGCTAACAATGCTTAAAATGCTATTATTAATATTTTAGAAATTTACTCTGGCTGACATAAGACCTTTGTACTAAAATATTTTACTGATTTAGATAATTTTTTTTAATTGCCAGTAACTTAACATCCGCAGCAGTTTTGTAAAAAAGTATTCAGAAGCAAAAATATTAGGACGTTGTTAAAAAGGTGTAATATATCTGTGAAACAGGAGAGTTTTTATTTAGCTATAATAATTTATTTAAACTCATAGTATATAGACACTTACTTATCTGAAGCATCATCAATATGTAAAACAATTTCATTAGTAGTTTTACTTACTGCAGGATTAAGACAACATAATGTAATGTTATTTTTTAAGTTCCTTTATTTGATTAAATATGTCACGTAGAGTGATATAATCTTAATATATGATTTTATGTTTTGTATATAAAATGTTATATACAAGAGTTTGCGTGTTTATAGTGTTTTTATTTAATAATATATGCTTTCTCCTCAGCACATGTTGAGGACTTGTAGTTTTGAGAGATACTTCTATGAAATGTTAGAATATAGTGTCATATTAAGATTACAGCATTAGAATCACCAATTTAGGGATGAAATTTTAATTTTTCAACTTCTATTGTAGGAAATAACCAGAATATAGAAATAGTAATTTTTTATTCCATGAGAATCTATTTAAAACCTTTTAACTTTTCTATCTCCCTTCGTTTATCTAGTAATGAGAAATATTAGAATCATCAAAAACTATTCTTAAGACATTCTAAAGTGTTTTATGTTGGGAATCTCATTTAGATAATTTGTTAAAAACAGATGAAAAAGTTAGAGAGATAGTTTATGAAATTTAGCATACAACATTCGATGTTATTAATGTACCTACTGGTAGAATGCTGAGGCTTTTCAAGCATGATACGTTTATAAAAAACAAAAAGAATAAAATATATAAAAATGCTTTAAACAAGAGTTTTATCATATTTATAAAATGGTACAATTGTATGTGTATATTATGAAATTGTAATGGAGCAAATATATAAATGCTTTCAAACATAAAAATTCCACTTAGATATTGTGTGGTCATCATGTATATAATGTTGCATGTGAAATTTAGGTGTCATTTAAAAAAATGTAAAATGTTTATTCTTGCGCTTGTATTGTACCTAATTGATTATCATAAATAAATATTTAACCGATATTATTAAACCAGTCTTTGATTTGATTTTGCCAATTAGTTAAGACAAATTTTACAGTTCAGTTCTGAATAATTAGGCGGCTTAATGTGTATCTACCTCCGGCTTTTAGAAATAGTGATAAATTTAATCTTCCAATTTCATTAAAGTTGAAAACAAATGTAAGTTCATTTAAATATACGATAAGATAGAAGGTAAATTAGGATCCAGTGTCAGAGACTGAAGGTGACTGCAAGCTTAGCGAAGTTAAAAGGTGTTACATAATAAATAAGAAAAAAATTCTTACTAGTTTGCGGATCAGTAGTTCTGTTTTAATACTTTACTAGATTAATAGGGTGTGGTGTAAAAATAGAATATATTATTGAAGCGACAGTAGCCTAATGGCAGGGCGCGGACCGCGAACTCAAAAAGGTCGTGGGTTCGAATCCGCCATTCGACTACTGGCGTGAACCACTCGTAACACAAGCAATTTAAGCTTACCACGAGTGGTTAAGGGGAATATTAGTAATGTTTATAGCATTGTTAACATTCTTTAAAAAAATTATTCAATATAGATTAAGTACGAGCAATTCTTAGTAGGTTTCAGTTGCAATGGGCCGGCGTGGCAGATCCGTATAGCTTGAAGCGCAAGCAGCCCCCTCCCCCATGCCTATGAGCCTGACTGTGCGCTGTGTTAGGCGACCTACTACGACGGATTGACGAAATTAGATCGTCTCCAGCGAAATCAAAACATAGTAGGTACACATATCGATACATGCTAGGGTAAACGTCGTGATGTGTGGCAATGGTTATCTACGGAGAGGTATTGGTGATGAATCACTATGACACAGTTGTGTTATTTAGATAGGTAATATGTATGAGATCCAAAAATCTGATTTACAACTTGTCCTTATTTAAAAGCCAATATTTTTTCCAGTAATATCCGCTGTGATCGCTAAGCCTCACCTCACGGTCGACATGTAGATAAGAGTTGATGATATTTGTTTGCTAAAATGTTAACCTTGCTGCAGTGCGAGGTTGCCGATTAATAACACTATGTAACATACCAATAGTAGCGAGTAAACAAATTTCCCAATAGATGGATGCCAGCTGGTGCACATTCTTCAAATCCATCACATCCACAAAAGCTTGTGATTACAGTTTGGGAGATTTTTTTAAGAATATATATTTTAAACAAACATTAGCTGGCAGATTTCGCAATAGCTTTAAGTTAGGCTTGGTGAAAGAATCGATGCTTTCGCTCCAGCAATGGTGCTTCCCACATTCAGTCTGCGGTGGAATTTGGGTTCGGCACTGAGTGCGGATAAAGTTATAATTTAGAAAAGTTCTGGGAGTTTGTTGTTATACATTGCCCCAAGAATGAATTACCGACTCTGTGGAGTCGAGAAACTGGTATCACTAGCTTGTGTTTATTCCTAATGTTTACACTTACTAAAACTACTTTTGTTTTTGTGAACGTACATTAAATTTTCGTAAATATACTGAGAGGCTAGTTAATATATTTTTGTTTAAATTTTTCTCTGACAGACTCTCGGTTTTAGTTTGTAAATAGCTTTTATGGCCTTCTTTCGCTAGTTAGTTTTTTTATCAGCTACATTTCCCCATAGCAACATCCCATAAGACATCATACATCGAAATAACTGAAATGAACTGATCTAGCTGTCTCGACACTAGTGAGACCTCTAGTTGAGTTGAGTTGACTCTCAGACCATTCTTGTGTGGTTCATGTACTAACAAATAAATAACTATATACTTACGGATAGATTTTTATTTATTCGTTTATTAAGCTTTTCTTTATTATTATAATTAATTACTAATTATAATAATAAAGAAAAGCTTATCGTTCGCGTCCGTAGGCTTCGACCACCTAATCCTAGGCCCACCCTACACGTTTCCCCCGGGTGGTGCTAAAAGAGCGACAAAGCCGAAAGAACAGACTCGGCTACTCGCCGTGTGGTAGCGGCGTAAAATATACCACTCCCTAGTTTTCGCACCATGAGGCAAAAAGAAAGGGAAATGGCACCGAGTTCCCGGCGCCCCTTTAGTGGGGCAGGGGTGCGAAGAATCTCCGGGAGGAAAACCTGCGACGAGGTTCGCCACCTGTCACGTTCTGTCTCCCGGAGGGGCGAAAAGAGGTTTGCGAAGGACCGTCTAGCTACGCTGAATGTATGTGGAGCAATGAATGATAAGATGGATGAAGTATGCGATATGATGTATGATAGAGGAATAGATGTGTTATGTGTATGTATATGTGTTACGGAAGGGAAAGGATGTCACTAAACATGGCATATATACCGCGTACTGGTCCGGTGTAGACGAGACCGAGCGGGCATGCCAGGGAGTCGGCATCATCCTTTCAGAAAGAATGGGTAATGGTAAGCCCGAGACTGCTATGGATGCGAATAAAAGAGGGCCTAAAGAAGCCCACTTATATTCGAGAGCAGTTGTGAGAGAGAAGATGAAAGAGATAGGGAGATAAGTATAGATGAAATAATGAAAGCAATGAAAAGCATGAAAGTAGGTAAGGCAACCGGATATGATAGCTTCTGTTAGTGCTAAGGGCTGGAGAGGAAGTGGTGGCAGGCCTGCTGTACACCTTGTTTAATTTATGTTGGGAACTAAAGCAGGGGTACCGGGAGACTGGTGCAAAGCCGTGATAGTCCCAATATAGAAGGGAAAAGGGTCGCAACAGGACTTCTTAGCATTGTAGGAAAACTGTATGCTAAGGTACTAATTGAAAGAGTTATGAAAGAAACTGATGGAGAAATTTGGGATGTGCAAGCGGAATTTAGAAAGTGGATGGGGTGTACAGATCAAGTCTTTTCCATGCGCATAATCGCGGAATTTTTGGTAAAAAACGAAAAAAAATTTTGTGCGTTCATGAACTTGGAAAAGGCTTATGACAGAGTGGACAAGTGATATGTTATGGTAAACGCTCATTTAGGTTGAGCGCTGGGTTGATACAGGCATTAAAGTCTCTGTATATGGACTCGAGTGCTTATGTTGGGATCAATGGGGCCTACTCGGACTGGTTTGGCATCCTTAAAGGTGTCAGACAGGGCTGTGTAGTTTCCCCGTGGCTGTTCAACCTATTTATGGACAGTTGTTTGGAAAATTTGAAAGTTGAAGAATGCGGGTTAAGAATGAGTGAGTTAACCGTCAAATGCCTTTTGTACGCCGATGATCAAGTATGACTTGCCTCGTCGGCGGCCGAGTTGCGAATGATGGTTACATTAATGAACAGGTCATTAAAAGAAAGGGGAATGAAAGTGAATGCAAGTAAGACGAAAGTGATGGTTTTTGAAAGAGAAGAAAGTTAAACGATATGTGAAATAAGAATAGAAGGGAAGATAGTCAAGCAAGTAGATGAATTTGTATATTTGGGATGTGTATTCAGCAGGGATGGAGATACAATAAGGATATTGAATGACGAGTGAATGCAGGATATAAAGTAAATGGGGCTCTACACTTTATTGTGAAAAGTCAAAATGTGTCAAAATAGGTACGTAAGGCAATTCACGATGCTGTATTAGTCCCTACTTTAACATATGGTAGTGAAAGTTGGGTATGGCAGAAGAAACACGAGAGTAGAATAAATGCAGTAAAAATGCGGTCGCTAAGGAGTATGTTAGGGCTGAATCTAAGTGACGGGGTGAGAAACTGTGTGATAAAAGAAGAGTGTGGTTTGCAAGATGATGCGGTGACCAGGATTAAGAACGGAATATTTCGGTGGTATGGTCATTGTAGAAAGAGTGAATGAGGAAAGACTGACAAAGAAAATATATGTTGCAGAAGTGAATGGAATAGTCGGAAAGGGACGTCCTAGGCGAAAGTTTGTCGACCAAATTGGCGATATGTTAAAAATGGGCTAAATTAAGAGCACCCTTAACCGACGAGAGGGGTATGTTAGGATCGTGCTAAATGGAAGTCTGTAATCTCTGCCTACCCCTCTGGATGACAGGCGTGAGTGTTTATGTAATGTTTATGTTTAATTACTAACAATATAACAATGTTATCACATTATTATACTAATTATGTAAAATGATCCTTATTGTTCGAAATAAAGAGATTAGTATACAGCCTCCTCTCATTTCTGAGAGGATTTTGAGGGTAAGAAAATGTTTGCCGCGCTGCCCCAATGCGTGTTGGCGAACTTCACGTATCTTCGAAATATTTTTTTGTATTTCTCAGACATGCAGGTTTCCTCACGATGTGTTCCTTTATCGCTGACCACGTGGTAAATCAGCACTAAAAATTGTAATTAATAATTTCATTGGTGTCAGCGGTGATCGAACCCGGTACTGTGAAATTTAAATCGCTTAGCACCTGAGCTAAGGCTCTTTAAACATAATATATTTATTACGTAAAAAAGCCTATCCAATACGTGAGGCCAATACGTAATATTGTGATTTAAGATTCTGTTAATAAAATTCTTTTCAGATAATAAATAAAATAAATTACCCCACAAAATAAAATAAAATGAGAATAACCACATCAGGGCAATGCAATCGGCGTACACGTAGGTACCGTCGACGACGAAGGTGTTGCCAGATTTTAAAAATTTGCAGAACATCAAGCAAATTGTTATAAAAACTGTATATTTACTTTAAACAATAAATTTTTATATTCATTGGTATTTTTTTTTACAATTAAATACGGTATCTACTTTATGTTTCCTTTTTGGACAGAGTTTTTTTTACAATATTATATAATATGTATACAATATGTTGAGATGTATTAGATAATGCAATTTGTATTTTTTCACAAATATGGATCTTCAGTGGTCAAATATTGTATCCACTAAAACACACAGTCGTAAATGTGATAATTTTTTTTAAATATGTGCATGTCAGAACTTATTAACTGTCTTTTATATGTAAATTAAGAAACAACCTCATTTGATCAAAGAAATAATTTAAATGATGTCACGTATTTTTTATTTTGTGTACAATTATTAGGTACAAATGTAAAAGTTGTATTCTGTTAAAAGTCTTTTTTAAACACATTTTCATCTTATTTTTGTACACTAAAAAGGCGTAATGTTAATCAAACCATTCTTCTATGTTGGGCGAATTTTCCAAAACGTCGTTTGACTCACTGTAACAAGAAAAATATATTATGTAATATTAAAAATCCACAATATGTAACTAACATAGCATATATTATGCATGCATACACGAGAAAATAAGAAAATAAATGTATAACTTTTGCTAAGGAGTGTAAGGAGTGTAGCCCCGAATTATACTATGACTATCTCGCACGTACGATCAATTATGGCGCATAAGCATAACATCATTAGCGTAAGCAGCGCCGCGCAGCGGCCCTCTATGCGAATTAGGTTGCCCGTCGCCCATCTGAGCCATCACGTCGCAAATCAGCAGCTGTACCAAGAGCTCGAAAAGGAGCAAAACAAGGACAAGAAAAAGTCTCCTGCACTAGGCAATAGTAAACAATTGTGCAAATAAATTAATAAGATTAGGTTTTTCATTCCTTATTTCATTTCTCAGAATAGCAATCATTCTCATAGTCGAGCCGAGAACAAAGAGTAAAATTTCGTACAGCCCACTTTGCTCGCTACCTTGCTTTCAATTTTATTTACATTTCTGCTTTATGGAAACATCCCATGTTGTTGATGTTGTTCGTAACAAAATTAAAATACATAATTTGTTTCTTGCATATTGTATAAAAGGTAAACGTTTGTTTGTAACTCTTCAACAGAGCGTTGGCATCTTTCTTGAAGAACAAGCTCACCGCACTTCCGTTTCACGACTCGAAATAATACTATCATGAATTCAAGAAGGAAGCAATAAAAAAGTTATGGTTTTTCACCCGCTTTCAGAAGTTTTAGTGAAATTCATTCCTCACACAAGACCTATCAGTTTTAAGGTGATGAAGAGGCATTATAAATTAGTCCAGACTGACTTCCGGGATATCACCGGAGTATTGTTGGATGAGTCTTGCTCTTGGATCAGTACTTACAATTGCGCGTGGTTCCAACGACGATGTGTACGTAGACGTAGAACCTCTTAATCTTACTGAAAATATCAGGTGTCTTAGAAATGACACAACATCACCACCATAACCAATTTCGAAAGCTGGCTCTTGCCAGCAGACAGAGCTGTATTGAAATTGCGTAAGTCTCATCGTATGCATTTGGAGATCTATCTATATACGGTCACATCTGTAGAAGACAGCAGCATCATTTCCCATTTATTAGCTGTGAGATTAAGAGTGTGATCAGAGAATGTTTGCGTTATTGTACGGTGGGTCTTGCACTTAACTCCGGCAGTATGAACATTTTCCCAGGACAGTATAGGCACTGAATATGCAAAATCGTAATGAAGGCAGTTTCCGGAACTTTAGATTCGAGCATTAAGGAATGGAGCGTTGACTTCATTAGATTTTATTATTTGGTGATCGCTACCAGTTTTCACTTTCACAATCACTGAGAAATCACTGATTTGTTGCTTTCTGGTTGTCATATTAAATTCAATCTCATTTTTCGTCTGTGTTGAGGGAAGACACTTCTTCATAAAATTAGCCTTATCCTTCTCCATGAAGTGTTAAGCGCATGGATTTCTCAGCATCAAACTTCAGCTCACCGTTTTTTCTTGTGCCTAATTTATTGTTTAGTTCCAATCAATGCCGTATTGTTTCATTGGCCAGTTGCTTATCGCGTCACATTGAACGAGAATGTTCCCGACGATAAGGGTTAGTGCCCTTTGTCAAGTGTTAAAATATGTACACATTTTAATATAGATAAAGCTCGAACTATTAATGCAAGCAAGAAGCAACCTTATGTCTGCGAGCATAAAAGCTTTTCTCTTTTGAATATTAGTATCATTATGTTATATTGAGTATTCTAGTACTTTTAGGTTGAAAGAGTGCAATGACCTAGATTGGCCTAGAAAGTTCTATTTTTATTTTATCGAGTATAAAAGTGTGTACCAGCGATCGAAGAATTAATGATTTCGGGAACACGAAAGTAAACTCTACTCCGGGAAGCGACTACGAGAATTCGACCTACGACATCTGCGATTATTAAGGACCTCACCGAAGAACCTTAGCGATTTTGGATGACGTATTTATAAACTTCCTGTGTGTGGAAAATACATCCAATTTCTCATCCTAATCAGCATTTTCACTCACTCTGCACGTAACAGAATAATGAGTTTTGGAGTGATGTATGGCTCTAGCGATATTTTAAGATATCTTCTCCACCTCCTTGTTAGCTTGGTGCATAAACCTGTATGATCTTTTACGAATACCGCTTGGTGTTTTTGAGTATATGGTACGCAAATCTTCTCAAAACATTTCCAATCTTCAAAACGTTTTGAACGAGTCTTGTGGTCGATCAATCCGGCGACTTCTTGAGGCAGATGATCGTCGTCCTGGTAATAGAACAAGTCGTCGGATTCGATGTTGTCGATGTTCTTCACCTCTCTTCAGATCTCGGATAATCCTAAAATATCCCAGCAATACTGTCCATCTTTTTAATTATCTTCTCGTCTGTTCTGAGTGCGCGCAGAAAAATTTGTCGAATCTTTTGATGATTATAATATTATTTATTTTATTTATACACAAGAAGATTCCAAAAAATAATAACACCAATACTTGCCGCAAACGTTTAGAAGCTTTAAAGTTAAAGTAACAAGAGACAACAGAATCTTAATAGCTTAATACTTATCTCCTTTTCTTAGCTTTTTGAAATTTCCATCTTTATTATTGAAGGTAAAATTCTTTATATATATATATATATATATATATATATATTTTTCTGCTCACTTTTATTTTTTATTTAACTTATTTCAATCAATTTTGAAATCTATAGCAACTTTTGCCATTTTTATTTGATTACTATGGAACATTTTTAATTTAGTGTAAAAATCCAAAGTTAGAAAGCTCTAACTAAGCTCTAACAGAATCCAATGACTAACTAAATTTTCAAAAAACATATTTGATTGGATTTACTATTTTCACCAAGTATATGACGTACATTCAATAGATTTATTATATAATTACTAATTGTCCACCGTGAATACTAAAAAATGAATGTATTCATGTGTCAAAAGGCTTATTATAATACATTTTACTTAGGCATATAATAAAGATTCACAAAAGAAAAAGGAAAGTGAGATAAGACTGGTGTCGTCGGTGTAAAAAAAAATATATAAAATTTTTTTATCTATGGTAACCGCTGTTCACTATGACACCTGGACGTCGAATATCTCAGTCCCCCCCCCCCCATAACCATGGGCGCTGAAAAGCGCTCAAAACGTCGGGTATTTATAGTTAAATATACGCGATAAAATCCGTAAAAACTAGTATTATTTTAATGTGTAGTGTTCGCGTAAATATAAGAAATCATTATGTATTTTGTTTTTATAATGATAAAAAGTTACTGTAATTTTGCTGTAATTATATTTTTTGTTGCCTTGACTACGATTTACCATATTTAAACAGTAAAATAAGCAGACCTTTAATGGGCAGCAGCGTTAAATATTAATATATCATATAATCAAACTGTTTTCAATTGTAGAAAATTAAAAATAAAATACTAATAATAATTATTGAACTTTTTAGTATTTTATCTATAAACCCAATTTAAAGAGATTTTATTAAAATTTATTTAGCCATTGGATTCCAGGATCAAATACTTTAACTTATTCACCTGAAACTATTAAATTATGTGATTAGTTACACAATTGGATGTATTTTATTCATTATCAAAACACTTGTTGAAGAATTAAAAAAATACATAATACAATATCAAATCGACAAATCTGTATGAATATACTTAAGATGTCTTTCTATATAATGTTCCACATAATTAATGTATAATAAATTTTTTTATTATATTGGTGGTGTGGTGCTATGACTAAAAAATTGTTAGTCAGTTTGAGTGCATTCCAGACAATTCCTAACTCTGGCAAAAGTTAATTTATTAAACCAATAATGCAGCATTGCCGAATGTACCTGGGTATGATCCAATACATTCTGTAGCTGTAGTAATGTATTGCAAATTACTTCTTTGCACACAATATCCAGGCATATTATAAAATACATACCTATCAAGTGAAGGATCATTACTAAACATCTCAGTTGGTACTGTGGGGGGAGCGCGCTCCGGCAACAACTCCAAATATGATTGTCGAGACTGCAAATGTCGTTCTACTTCTTCTGGTGTCATATGACCGTCACTTGTAGACAGACCAAATCCAAGAGCAGGAGAAGCTTTTGATAACATTGATGGATTTGCTTGATGCTAAAATCAGAAGCACAAACCATTGGTGATATTTTTTCACAAAAAAATACAAAACCTCGGGCTCACAAGTGATTTTCAGTATTTAGAAATGGTATGTCTTCCTTTTTTTTAAAAGGTGAAATCTTATTAGAACATTAGACAACAATTACTTCCAAAATTAATTTCTTCTTTAGGGTTCTAGGTTATATTGAACTTTTAACAAACGAGATTATCACTGTGTATCACAGGATTAATCTGTAGGGAAAAGGTATAAAAAAATGTAACTGAATTGAAATATAATAATAAAAGATTAAAAAACTGTTGTTATTTCTTTATATACAATAAATATGTTAATAATTTCTTAGAACACAGAATGAAAGCAGTAACTGGTTTCAACTCTATAATCCATACCTCTTATAATATCACTTTTTGCAAAATATGAAGACATTTTTAAGTACACATAACTAATGTTTTGTAAAAGAATAGTAGTTTAAGACCAATAAAATTATAGGTACTTGAGGTTACAACTGTGTAAATCTATTTTTTTATTTCATTTAATGAAAAGGTTGGATTTCAAAATAAATTCTGCCTGTGTAACATTGCTCAAATTGCCACCTGAATATGTTTATGAAATAGTATTTTTTTCTTGATTTTAACAAGATTATGATTGCAAGAAATTATATGCTACAAATTAATTTATTTCATTTCACAATGCTCATACAATCAATTTACATGAATGTTATATAGTATATAAAGTATTATTATATTAAATACAATAATAATAAAAAGATTTCATAACTTATTTATCCCTTACTGAATGACTAGCATTTGGTGTCTTTTTTTGTATGGCTGCCCTTTTCCTTTTAATTGCATTTACATTTTTATTTAAAGAAGATGGTGTAGATATAAGTTGCTGCGCTGCACTTGCTTCCAGTTTTTTTCTGAAATTTAATAATAAAAAGAGTATTACGATAGGACCACCATTACCATTACAATCAATCAAAAGTCCACCGCTGAGCATAAGCCTCTACCATAAATTGCCTTATAGAGGGTAGATTTGCCGGGTAGAATTGCTTGGTAAGTATTGGCCTATAATCAGCAATGAACTTTGATAGGAACTCTCTCTCTCTCACACACAAACAAACATACACATACACATACATACACACGCTCACGCACAAATCTATACATGGGTATGCACACACACATGTGCACACACACACACACACACACACACACGCACGCATATACACACACACCATCTCTAAAGCCACATATCTTACAATAATTAAAAAAAAAGTGGTTGCCTATCACCTATCAAGCATTGCAGCAAGAGTACATATAAGTACATATTTTGGGGAAGCCTATGTACATAAGTGGATCTGATCTGTAATAAAGATACCATTAAAAACATAACTTGTAAAAAAACCAAGTCTCGCAACTCAGTTCTTCTACCGTAAAAAGTTGTGAGATCCATGCAATACCAAGTCGGTTAATTTATTCAGTTCCTAGTTAAGGGTTCTTCTCTATTTTAAGTTATTACGTAATTAGCTAACCTAACAACATTTTATAGTGACCATATCAATGTTAAAAGTCTTTTATGTTTTAAATATATAGATTGACTTGGCCATCGCATGAAACCACAATGTATCTCACAAGTAATACGTATTATATTAAATTAGATTGCTTAATGCGATTGCCAAGTCAATCTATATATTTAAAACATAAAAGACTTTTAAAATTGATATGGTCACTATAAAATTTTGTTAAGTTAGCTAATTAAGTAATAACTTAAAACAGAGAAGAAACCTTAACTAGGAACTGAATAAATTAACCGACTTGGTATTGCATGGATCTCACAACTTTTTACGGTAGAAGAACTGAGTTGCGAGACTTGGTTTTTTTACAAGTTATGTTTTTAATGGTATCTCATTTCCTTTTGTATATAAGATAGTCCTAATTTTTTACCTTTCTGGTACCTTCTACTTCTTGAGTACCAACAACGTACCTATGTACCCCTGTAATACATATATAAGTACACTGATTCATTCACTGCAAATGTAACTTTGTAATCCTATATATTTATATGGGATTACAAAGTTATTTATGCAGTTAGTGTGTCTAAAAAACTGGACAGGAATTAACAAATGTTTTAGTTTTTCCTTGATTTATACACTAAACACCAATTGTATTCTAAATTTGAAGCTTCTATGCCTGCTAGAAGTGCCTTAGAGTTTTGATGATCGGTCAGTCAGTGAGTGACAAAATTAAGAAACTTTGACTGGTTACAATTCTTAAAGTACTGGTTCAAATTGAATAAAATTTGAAATATACCATGTTTATACAATGCTTACTCGGTTTCTGAAAATTCAGGCATCTAGATTTATTGACCATGAAGTTATAAGAGGTCGAAAATGGCCTGAATTGCTTCGAGAAAAGATGGTACGGCCGTGCCGCTTTTTTGATCGACTTGTACACTACATAATTACAATATATTATTACCTTTTTGCAGCATCTACATGGTTATACGACATATCATCTGAAGATTCTGTATCTTCACTATCTGATGTGGTACTATCATGTTTCTCATATTGTAATAATCTATCAAGGAGATAACTTCTATCTCGGCAAACTTTTAGAAGTCTTTTTTGGCTGCTTCTTAATGCATCTTGAAAACATTCATTTTCCTAAAAAAATACAAGAAATTTAAGATTAACCCAAGAGGTTAGGTAATAAGGTTTTGTAATGTTTTGTTTGGTAATAGGGTTGCAACCTTATATGTAGAAAGACTTAAAAACAACTGTATATGCTAAAAATCAAAAGTAGTATGTAAAACGGGTTGGGTTTACAATTCGGTCGCCGGAATTTGAAGATTCTGTCACTGTGGGGGGTCAAGTGGGTTTATCTGAAGCACCCCCACTTAATTTTTGCAGCTGGAGCAGCGTCGAAGTATTTTTATTTATTTTTTAAAAATTAATAATTAATTGACTAATTAATTACGTTATTGATGTTTCATCTGTCAATGTCATATGGATATATAGTACTGAATCGATCTAGTGAATCGATATTTCACCATAGAGAATCGAGATCGAATCTTTTTCTGTTTTATTAAGATTTGTAAAATTATTTACTATTAGTTGAATGTACCCCAATTCGTAAAGAATGACAGTTTTTAATTCAATCATTCAATGTTATCTGGACTTTATTATATCTTTTGATATTGTAAATATAAACTTTTAACGCAAATCAAAAAAAGATAGATTTTGCCAAATCATCTTTAAGATTTTGATTTTTTGTGAGTCGATTCATCCAATTTCGATTTGAATCGATTTAAAAATGTGTAAAATTAATCGCTAGGCCAGCCATTTTGTTGACAGCTTTTCGTCATGCTGTTGCTTCTGAGTATCAGAATTTTGGTGAATAGTGGAATATTTGTGGCGGTGGAATACTGCTAAATATCGCAAAGATCCTTTCTTATAAATGGTGGCAGTCATAAATTATGTTTATAAATTAAAGTAGTTATAAAAGTTGCGGGGCTCCGTCAACCGGACTTCCCTCAACTGCACCATGTTAAGTGGAGTGGGACTTCCGTCTTCCAACTCTCCCTCCACATAAATCAGGATAAAATTGTCATAAAAATTACGAAACATAACCTCAAAATGCGATTTTTGAAAATTTTAAAAAAAAAACTAAGGACGTCCCGCAGGGAGGGGAAGTAGGGGGTGACTCTACAACTCCTCCCCCCCCCCTTAATTCAGGCGACCGAATTGTAAACCTTACCCTGTAAAACATGAGTACCTACTTTCTTTTTTGTCAGGTTTTACAATTGTGTTAACAAATTTATAAACTCACATAAATGAGGTATTTAAGTTTCTTTTTAAGTGTTAGATATTGAACTTCATAATTAGGTTCTGGTTCGGGATCACTGCTGCTATCACTGGAATATTCTTTCCTTTGTTCTCTAGCTCGAGATATTTCCGCCGCTGAATTGTTACTCACGCTTGCGGCTTCAGTAGCTTGCATATTTGCTATGGAACGACAATACCACCCATCCAACATTTTCTAAAAGAAATAAAAAAAACTTCATCAGATAAAAAAATATTTTCATAATATAAAGAAGTTTTATCTGATAAATGTTATTAATTTGGATTGTTTGTTAATTGAATTCAACACATACACACAATTAGGAACGCTAAATCTATCATTTTTAATCTTTAATACCTTGGGATAATTTTCGGACGCCACTGTTGCAACTAAAAGAAACTGAGAATATCGAAAACGTTATATAAATGATATTAACTGCAAAAAACCGAAAACAAATTGTTTATTTTATAGAATATTTTTTGGACACAAACTACCAGGGTTGCCGTTCTACAAATTTTAAAGTCCCTAGACTACACAGTAATCTATGCCCTAGAGCCCTAGACTAACAGAAAAAATCCGCCAGAAACAGGATTTTGCCTTTTCTTAAAATCCGCTAGATGTCCCTAGGTATATTTTCGTGGTACCATTGGGTTAACTGAAAAATCTTGCCTAATGGTCGATGAATACCGAAAATCTAAATCTATAAATTAGGTAAAACCTTAAAAGGAGCCGACTCTATTTCAAATAAATCAGTTATTTAAAGTGTAGGTTATTGATATGACAACCAAAACAAAAATTATTCATGTACAAAATAAAAAAAATATTGTAAAAAAAATCTTAAATCTTTAAACCACGTTTAAACATTAGTCATATTATTAAAAATAAAATAATTAGCTCAGGACGTTCTTGTACCTAAATTTCAAAATTAATAGCGAAGTATGGATCCAAATCTTCAAAAAGAACTTTAGCGGAAGTTGAAGCTTCGCCAATGTCTCCAGTTCCCATCTTTGGTTTGCCTTTATCGACTTGGTTGGCAACATCTTCGGGAATATCATTCGTTGCGCAATTCTTTTCTTTAACTGATTTCTAATCAGAAGAATGGAATTTAAAGTTTTTTTCTGATAGCTTGTTTCGCAGTTTGCTTTTAACTACATTCATAGCACCAAATACGCGTTCAAATTCTGCATTTGAGTGCGGTAGTCATAATATTACTATTGCAAAATTACATAAATCTTCGAATATGTTTACTCTTGCTGCATTTTTGTATGTCGAAACCTTAGACCGTGGTCTAAGGTCGAAACAGATGAAAGTGAATGAACGACATTGAATTGTTAGTTTATGTTCGGGAATTCTCGTGAAATTATATAATATTTACAGTGTAGATTACAAAATTGGACATATGATAAATGACTTATTTGAAATGAATTACTTTATAAAAAAAATCGCCATCTCAAAAGTTCAAATGTCGCTAGAAGTCGCTAAATAATTATTTCTCGCTAAAACGATTTTTTATCCGCTAAAACATTGTTAAAATCCGCTAGATCTAGCGAGAAAGTCGCTAAAACGGCAACACTACAAATTACTTTATATTATAATACTTTTTTTTTTTGAGTTTATGGCGTGGTATCCAGACCTTTAGGCCATTACTTTAATACGTTTTTTCTTCTAGTCACAGACTAGATAGAGAAACTGACGTTTGATTTAATGCCTCAGTGGTTGGGTTTTTTTCCAACGGTAGATTACAAAATTGGACATATGATAAATGACTTATTTGAAATGAATTACTTTATAAAAAAAAAATCGCCATCTCAAAAGTTCAAATGTCGCTAGAAGTCGCTAAATAATTATTTCTCGCTAAAACGATTTTTTATCCGCTAAAACATTGTTAAAATCCGCTAGATCTAGCGAGAAAGTCGCTAAAACGGCAACACTACAAATTACTTTATATTATAATACTTTTTTTTTTGAGTTTATGGCGTGGTATCCAGACCTTTGAGCCATTACTTTAATACGTTTTTCTTCTAGTCACAGACTAGATAGAGAAACTGACGAACTGATTTAATGCCTCGGTGGTTGGGTTTTTTTTCCAACGGTAGATTACAAAAATTGGACATATGATAAATGACTTATTTGAAATGAATCTTTATAAAAAAAATCGCCATCTCAAAAGTTCAAATGTCGCTAGAAGTCGCTAAATAATTATTTCTCGCTAAAACGATTTTTTATCCGCTAAAACATTGTTAAAATCCATAGATCTAGCGAGAAAGTCGCTAAAACGGCAACACTACAAATTACTTTATATTATAATACTTTTTTTTGAGTTTATGGCGTGGTATCCAGACCTTTAGGCCATTACTTTAATACGTTTTTTCTTCTAGTCACAGACTAGATAGAGAAACTGACGTTTGATTTAATGCCTCAGTGGTTGGGTTTTTTTCCAACGGTAGATTACAAAATTGGACATATGATAAATGACTTATTTGAAATGAATTACTTTATAAAAAAAGTCGCCATCTCAAAAGTTCAAATGTCGCTAGAAGTCGCTAAATAATTATTTCTCGCTAAAACGATTTTTTATCCGCTAAAACATTGTTAAAATCCGCTAGATCTAGCGAGAAAGTCGCTAAAACGGCAACACTACAAATTACTTTATATTATAATACTTTTTTTTTGAGTTTATGGCGTGGTATCCAGACCTTTAGGCCATTACTTTAATACGTTTTTTCTTCTAGTCACAGACTAGATAGAGAAACTGACGTTTGATTTAATGCCTCAGTGGTTGGGTTTTTAATTTTTTGCGCATTTTAATATATTTATATTTTTAATTTTACTACTTTTAAGAACTACAAATTAGTTTGGTTATATATTTCCAATATAATTATTATAAAATATAATATAATATCTTATTATTATTTAATATTATATTTTGGGGTATATATATAATTTTTTCATCTGGTTGGGTTCCCTAAATATATAATGGAGAAGATAACCATTTTTTGTTTTATATGCCAAAAAATTCTACAAAATATTATGAGAATAACTGTGTTTTTAAATTTTTTCTATCTTCAAAACTGACCGAGATATAAGGGCGCAAAGTTAACATTTTCGATCAAAGCGCGGGCCGAGCGCGACATCGTTGATGACGTCACAAGTTCCATCTTCGTACGAGCGACCCGACGCGCACTTTAGAGATGAGTCGTACTTTGTAAACTAGGTGCACCTAGTCCAATTCCGTATAAATACTCAATCCAAATACCTGTTCCACCTAGTCCATAAAGTATCAAGTACACATAAAGTTTAGTATTGTTGGAATAGGAATAGGATACGCTATAGTTTCAAGTACCATATTTTACGTGCGTACTGCTGAAACGTGTGCAATAATGAATTCATACATCTTCCCTTCATACTTTACAAAATTATTATAATTATTCTCGTAACTAAATTACGATAATTAAGGTTATATGAGAAATAAATTAAGATCATTTACTTCCAATTACTTTAAATGCTACTTAGTAGTACTTCATATTTTGTAAAATTTGTTTTAAAAGATGTTTATCTTTGATTTATTTGAAAAACTCTAGAATGGGAGTACTCACCTATTGATTTTGTATGTCTTGATTTTAAGCTGCTATGTTTTTTTTTACTATTGCTATAATTCTATAATTGGTTGATGCAGCTCATACTAATGACGAAAGAGAGAATTTAAAGTGGATTATTTTCATTTATCTCTCGTATAATCTTAATAGTAACGTGCCTAATTATAATATTTTTTTAGAATATTGTTTGCATAATTCTTATAAATAACATTAAAAAAAGAATTGTTCTGAAAAATAAAAAGTGAGTTTGTCAGTTCCGGCGCACGACTGAAGTTCACTCCTTACGAACGATTATAAAATATATAGATTAGTAAATGTGGGTAAATGAACGCATTTTTATACTACTAAAAGCATGCATGACACATTTACTTATATTAATTATTTAATGTATATTCATCAAAATATATTACATAATCATCGAAACATAAATTGTTTACGCTTCCAATACTATGTTATGTAGTCATGGAAACATGAAAACAGCGTCCACCGAGATCACATTCGCATGAGTCCGTACCGTATTTGACAATAGACACTCGCCTGCCTTGTACTCTTGTATAAGTATTTGGTTGAACTAGTCCGAGTCCCGACTAGTCTCGATAGTATTTGGTTGAACTAGTCGAGTCCTGACTGTCCAGTCTCGAGTATTGACAGACAAAGATAGAAAGACTACGGAATAGTCTAGTTAAAAAAGGACAGAATATATTATTACACAACAAACACGAGTGCGCGTCACGTTACCTTTATGTTCATTAAAATTTGGTTCAAATTCAAATGACTGACAAACTAATGATTTAGGAAAAGACAACCCGAGTTGAGCGCCTAGTAACTACAGTCTACGTGTACGATATATTACTTTCCTCTATGAGTCTACGGCAAGAAAATACGAGTACGACGCGTAGGCACAGTGAGACTAAATGGATGGATCAAGTATTTTAAAAGTTGGAATAGGTGCAACCTAGTCTCGTTAAATACTTAGTCCCTGGATCTGTTCTAGTATATACGCTTCATCTCTAGCGCACTTAGAAAATCAAAACATTTACTCGAATGTGCCCGTCGCATGCGGATCTATCTATCTATTTTTAACAAGAAACATTATAGTAGAACATGACACCATCTATTAAATATTGTGCTGTGCCTAAATGTAAAAATACGGCCACAAAAATACCTGAAAAGTTTTTTTTTTAATGTGCCTAGAAACCCTACCATCAGAAAAAATGGACAAATGTTATGAGAAGAGCACATCTTTTAGAACCGAACACGGTAGCATTTTGTTGTGAGGATCATTTCGATGTAAGTATTCAAATAATAATAACATTCACATTAGGTCTTGGTTATTGCTAGTAAATGCTTTCTATTAGGCATGTAGGTACCTACTCGAGTCGCAGTGTTTAAGTAACTAACGATTCATTGAACCTTTCCACGCTTAATGATCATTATAATTTCAAGAAGAAACAATACCTAATACCTACATATTTAACTAAAACTACTTCAGTGTAAATAAACATCCAAACTTGGGTAAAGTACCTATGTAATGTAGATAAGTCAATGACCTGTCGTGAGTTCGTAAGTTTAGATACCTACCTATGTTTGCAGTAAATTTTAAAATGTTTATAATGCATATAAAGGTTAAAATATGGAATATGTTAACAAACGTTTTTATATGTTTACGATATTTCGAGCAAAAACTAAACACACACGCAGAGCTGTTCAATTTTCATACTTTACGGGCCGCAAATAATGGAATAAGTTTGATTGTGAAGTGGAGCACTTAAATTTTTTTTCGTGTTGTCGTATTTTTATGTATTACATGGTTGGTACATATTTTAAATATTGATGGAATACAAATTACGAGGTTCCTTATTTTTTATAGACTTTAAATAAGTTTGCATTTTGTTCTGGGTCGAAAACGATTTGGAAAACTACGTGAAGTACAAACTAGTTGGTGGTCCCCTCAAACTTAAAAAAGATGTTTTGCCTCACAAGTTTGCTTGCCAAAATCGGTGAGGATATTAGCCTCTTAACGACCGTCACATACTTTGAAGCAATTTCTCACTTTTTACATCAAAGTATAATTTGCGCTTTCGTATTTAGCTTAAATATTAGTTTCGCAATATATTGCACAGAATATATTGACAGAGAAAGCAATTAAGTCACTTAAAAAGTAAAAACTTGCGACATTACGGTGGTCATTCCTAGGACTGAGTCAAATTCAATTACAAAATTTTTATTGAAAATTGCCAACAAGCCTCGAAAAGTAGATAAATAATTAAAGATAACTTGCCGCTCCATTGTATTTTTCATGATATCCGATATAATAACTTGTAATTCACAATTTTAAAAGCAAAATTATCACACGTTTATTCAACGAAATCAACGGAACTTCAATGACAATGACAAGATTCTTTTTATTAAGCTATTGCATAGCTTCTATCGCGGGCCTTGAGCGTGGGGACCGAATCCAGAAATTTATTCCGCCGTAACGAAAAAACCTCACGCTCCCCACTCCGACGGGCACGGAGGTGTGGCTTGAAGGCCGTGCATTGTCTAACGTCGTTTTTCGGCAGTCTTCGACACGGTGTTTGTGTATAAAGTGTTTTGAATATGAATGAACAAAGTGCATTTATTATTAATGAAGAAAGTCACGAAATAATAGTGAAAGAAAATGAGTGAGTACTCTATATACATATATTTTATTATTATCACAAATGCAGTACTAATTTTGAATTGAAAATATAATACTGCTATAAAGATAACCTAAATTTTTGATATTAAAATGAGCGATATTAAAAGTAGCCCTCTTTATATACACACAAACACACATATATAGTTTAAATTATCAATTTAGATATATCAATATATATATAAGAGATGGGCCGAAATTCGGTACAAGAAAAATAATACCTACTTGCACTTATTTTAACCGAAATATAAGGTGCTTCTAAACTACAATATGCCATGGGTGCAACTGGTGGTTCTACTCATGATACTGTACCACTTTCCCCAAGGAACCCATAGTCAATTCTCAAAAAAAAAATTGCACTTTGTATGGAAATCGGTCAGCTGATTGGCCAAGTCTCCATACAAACAACCGTGGCATATATTTTAGAAGCACCTTATATAACAACATTAGATACTGTAAAATAAAAGATATTATTTTTACTCACTCATGGTCAATTATTTATTTATTTATTTCGAAACATTGTAAATGTACTTATATTAAATCAGTTCCTATCTTATCATTAATCTTAATCTTAGTTCTTAACCTTAATCTTAGTTAATTAGTTATTAATCTTAGAAATCCCTGCCTAATTAATAATTAGCCATATTACAAAAATGAAATAAACTTCGTATTCTCCTAGTAAACATCTGGATAGGAGTCCGTAAATTAAATAAAAAAATAATGTTTTTGATTCAACATTCATTAACCTCAAGTATTTTTTTTATTACAATTAAAGGGTATTTGTTTTCAACAATCATATTAAACCAACTTTTCTTGTCTATCTAGTCATATTTAAAATTTACCAGAGTCAGGTTATGGTGCAAAAACACCAAAGATCTGCCTTATCTGGCAGAAGTTTGTTACGTTTTTTTTCGTAGGTATATGTTTCCTGCGGTGTGCGGGCGGGGTATTTGAAGTAAATGCGTAAACAAGTCACGACGCGTCGCTCTCGAGAAAGCGTGTGAAAATGAACCGAAGTTCGGTCATTCGGTTCAAATCACATTCGGCCCATCTCTAATATATATATATATATATATATATATATATATATATATATATATATTATATATATTATATCACAATATTGATTCTACGTCCTTTCATTTCGCATTATTGTAGCGTCCACCACTGTGGTAAACAATTTCAAAGATAGTGTTTAACTCATTTCTTTGAAAATTTACCATATATCGATATACAAATATTCGTATATTGCCAGACGGAGGGAAACCAATCAGGACTCCCTTCCATATTACAAATTATCCAGAATCCCCGTAATATACATAGTTTTTAATTCATTCTCCTGCTTAAGGTGACACTAGTCGACATTATTTCCATAGAAATCAACAGTACATACAAGTGACAGTTAAACATGATATAGTTTTGTCTCATTATTAATTTTGTCTGTACGGAAACAGAATAGTAAAATAAAAAGTCATTAAAAAGTTACGAGGTATCAAAGATTCGTTTTTATTGCCAATTTTAACACAACTTTGGGCGTAAATTAGTAATAAAAGGAGTGTAAAATTTCCAAGACAAAGTCGGTACCGATACAGCTAAATTTTCGAAGAATTCAATAAATTTTATTTGTAATTGATTTATGCAGTGGTTTTTTCATAAAACCCCTTCTTCCAAAGGCCTTTTCGTATTTTTTTTACGCGCGCGTGTTTATATGAATTATCGTGCATTTCACTGAATAATGTTTCCCCCCGGTGCGGTGCGGGAGGACGACACTTACACACACATGCATGCGCGGTGACGCGCGCTTATTCTAGTTTTATTCGACTCAGTCAGCTGCGGCCTGTGACGTTCGTATGACTATAGCTATACCTGCGCTCTAAATTACTACGCTACATTGACCCCTGCTTGAACTTTGGATTTCGATACTACTCTGTTTGGCATAGAAATTGATATTATTGAAAGAGATGATGCGTTTTGGACGGCAGACAAAATTTTAAAATTAGATAGCTTTTATCAGAAATGTGTTTTGCCGGAGCTGATAGATCCCCGTTACCCTCGCAAACTACAATTTAGAGATCGAATGTAAATCAAATTGATATAAGCACAGACAAAAATAGCGGAATATAAATAAAATTTTGAAAAAAAAAAAACGATCTCAAAATTTTATTAATGTTCCGCTAATTTTATCTGTACTTATCTATGTCAATTTGATTTACATTCGATTATAATTATATTCTCAGACGTGCAGGTTTCCTCAATATGTTTTCCTTCACCGCCGAGCACGTGGTAGAATCAGCACAATTGCAATTAACAATTTCATTGGTGCCGGCGGGGATCGAACTCGGGTCTGCATGTCTGAGAAATTAAAAAATATATATTTCGAAGACATGTGAAGTTCGTCAATACGCATTGAGGCAACGTGGCGGACATTTCCTTGCCTTAACATAATTCAACCCTCTCAGAAATTAGAGGAGGCCTGTGCCCAGCAGTGGGACGTATATAGGCTGTAACTTTACTTTTTTTTTACTTTTATAAATATATTATTTTACCGACGAAAATTTTAAAGAAAAATGAAAAATAAGCAACCGACAACCTCCTAGGTCCCTAGGTGACTTGCGAGATGTCAGTGTAACAAAACAAAACGGCCCAGAAAAACAGACTTTCCAACTGATAGCTAAATCAGCACGCAACAATTTCATTGGTGCCAGTGGGGATCGAACCCGGGTTGCTCCCGTACTGTGATACTTATAACGAGCGCTAACCATGTGAGCAACCACGGCTCTCAACGACATCGTTCCGTTCGTGTACAACGCTGAAGATAGCAGAGTAAAAAATTTGAGATTGTGGTGTTTGAAATTTGTCATCTATGAGAGTGAATTTTATCTGTGTACTCTGTAACAAATAACTATATAGAAAAAAAATGTGAAAATGACATTTCGCCATTTTTGTTTGTGTACTGGTTAGGAACTCGATCAAAAATTTGATTTTCTCCGTTTTTATACGTTATTTCTAATGTTATTTTACATCAAATTAATTGTGAAGATATTTTCTTTTGGAAATATGTATCATTACGACGATTCAAAAACGTTTACATATAATAATTTACCTCGAAATTCACTATACGCGATTATCGTTTATTGATTATATGTTGTTTAAAAAGTATTCTTATCAGTTTTTTGTGTTAAATGGATGCTAAATATAAAAGAATGCTTCAGTATTGATAGCAATTTATTAACGAAATATCTGTTGATATGTGTCTAGAAATTATTAATACTTATTTTTATTTATTTATTAAAATAATAAATAAATAAAAATAAGTATAAATTTATTTATATTGAGTACTAGTTGTTCCCCGCGATTTCGCCCGCGTGGAATATGGATTTCATGGATTTTAATTTTTTTGGGGAACTAATCTTTTTCTAAAACAAAAGTACTTCAAGTTATTCCTTATATCATCAGCTATCTGCCAGTGAAAGTCCCGTCAAAATAGATCCAGCTGTTTCGGAGATTAGCTGGAACAAACAGACAGACAGACAGACCGACAGACAGATAAAAATTTTAAAAATTGTGTTTTTGTTACTAGTACTTTCATATGCATTTAATAAAAAGCTGTTGTTTTAACATTACAAACAGACACTCAATTTTATTTATTTGTAGATAGAGATATAAGATATTATTCATATTGGTGTCATTTTAAAGGGAATATCATGTACTATTATAATAATAAAATAATTGTCTCCAGTAAATATTATACTTTTCTTGTAAAACTCGAAATAAAAAATAAATACGATTTATTTTTATATCCCCATATGCTTTATTTTCATCCTTTATTTTTTATTTGACCAATTTTCTTTTAACGAAATTAAATTCTGAATTCGTTGAGCTTTTTGAGAATATTTTTATTTGAATGTTAGGTAGGTACCTATATTAGTTTTTCAGTAGTAATCGTTTTTGTTGCGACAGTCTCGCGCGGTCGTAAAAAAAGTTACTGCGCGGACAGGTGGGACGAGAATCACTTGCGCGGCGTTGACGGTTCGGTGGATAGGTACCTACCTACTGTTATTACCTAAATACCCATAACCTTCTATACAACAAAATTTGACAAACTGTCGCTGCGTCGTGGACACTAAAATGTAAACTGCCTACCTACCTGCCTAAGTACGTCGGTACTAAGGAAACAGTCTTGACGGGTCACTTGTCTTGATAAAAACATGTGTTTACATCTAGTGATATTGTGTGTATATAAAAAAAGTAAGAAGACAGGTAAGTATTTTTGAAAACAATTTATAGGTAGGCAGAACTAATTACAATTATTATCTAAATATTATAAATGCGAAAGTTTGGATGGATAGATGTATGTTACTCAATCACGCCAGAACAGCTGAAGGGATCTGGATGATATTTAGCTCAGAGATAGGTTATACCTAGTCTAGAATAACACATTTGATACCGTTTATTCAGGTATTTCGTTCCTGTGGGATAATTTTCGAGTTCACGCGTTTGAAGCCGCTGGCAACAGTTAGTACGGATATAAACTGCGATGACTGTTCCAGTTCATACTTCGGCGTCGTGAACTCTTGAGTGATCGCTGAATGACCACCCGGGGAAAACTAAACATAATAAAATAAGCAATCTATATTAGGTATCTATAGAGCCATAGAGGTATAGTATAAAGCGATAACGCAGCGCCTAATAATTTAGTACGAGTGGCACGATGCCAGGTGAGACAACGTGCTTTTTGGCCGCGCCCACCGATGAGTACGAGCCCGCGACTTGTGCCACCTACGCAATTCCTTTGTATAGTGCGACGTTGCCACTCTTATTAGTTATTCCGCTTTGTAATATTTTATTTATAGGTGATATTTTGTTTATGTAGGTATTCGATAGATTCCTATAGTCTGTTTTTTTCGCAGGAGATAAAAATAACAGATATTTATTAGATTCGTTTAGCACGAATAATACAGTTTTTATGATTCTGATTCAGATTAGATTTAATTTTAGTCACATAAATTTCGTATATTGTTCAAAATAATGAAATAAATCCACAGAATCTGCAGTTACGAAAAAAAGCAATATCATTTTAGTCTCCGGTGAAAAAAAAAGATATATATCATGATTAATTTCCCAACTAGTTATTCGTTTACTAAATACGAAAAAATATTTACACGTCATTTTCTTCCAATCTTGCTATGCTGAATATTTACGTAGTCCTTATATTAATAATTATAATTGCATAAGTTGATACAAAATGCTATGCAATAGCTTTACCGCGGCAGTCCCCGAGTGCCACACGTCTTTTTTTTTTCTATAGACGTTACTAGTAGTAACGTATATCATACAGCCAAGTTCATAATGAACATGGTCACGGTCTTATTCCACAGAGAAAGATAAAGAAATAAACGAATTTAGCAGCGAAATGCGACCGTGTTTTAATGGCGTTTTTAAATAAATTTAATTTTAATTTTTTACTGGCTGAAATCAGCCACCTCACAGACGAAACCGAAAGGCTGAACCTATTCTTATCATTAGCAAATGAAACCCAGAAGTATTAATGTAATAATGGGTACCTAGGTTATAAAAATATTATCTTATTCTTATACCTACCTTTTCATTTTGACTCCGCGTATTTCAGCCGCGACAAAATCTTTGTTTCTTAGAAAATATTCCGCCACCATCATGTCACGGACTATTGGAAGGTTGTCAGATTGACCATTTTGAAACCCTTCTTCCATCATTAAATACTTAAAAACACCAAAGCGAACGAGGGCAAACAACTCACCCGCGAAATATTACTACAAACGTACGATCGGCGCGCTGGAACGGTATGGCGGCGCGGCCGCATGGAACGAATGACGTCACGCGCTACTCGCGAGCACGGGCGACATTTTTGTAATATATGTAAACTTTCCACGCTTATAACTTCGGTAATAGTGCACCGATCGATGTGAAATAAAAACTAGAATTATGTGTTTGGTCTAGACTTTTACCTACGTACTTAAAAGTCTAATATTGTAACCTTGTTATCTTCTTCATTGCGAACGAAAATGATAAATATACATAAATAACAATAAAATAAATTACATAAAAATACGTAAATAAATAAAAGCCCAACCAGATGGAAGCCCTCGGCAGGGGAGAACAAACTGCTGAGGGTTAGGGGGAAAGGGAAAGAAACTGGCGGACAATGCGGGCAGTATCGAGGAGCACCGTCTTCTGCATTTGAGCCCGGAGCAGTCCGTCACAGAGTCCCAGTCGCCTCAGATGACCCGAGAGGCTGACTGGGATTAGCCCGTTTGCAGAAACGACTACAGGTATAATTTCGGTCGACAGTCCACCCCACATGTCGGTCACCTCGTGAGCCAGGTCCAGATATTTTGTTCGCTTATCTGTTTCGGCTTTCACGAGGTTCTCGTCATACGGAATGGTAATATCGACCAAAAATATCCTTGACTGTGCCCGATCCATCAGCACAATATCGGGCTTATTCGCAAGAATAGTCCTGTCTGTAATGATGGCCCGGTCACAGTAGAGCCTGGCGCGGTCATTTTCGAGCACGGCAGTTTCCGGTCCACGAGACCGTATTTCAGAGCGAACTCCTGGTATAGAATTCTGGCTACTAGGTTGTGCCTGTGCAAGTACTCAGAGTTAGAAAGCGCCGAACAACCGGAGATGACATGCCTAATTGACTCACCCGGATGGCGACAAGCTCGACAGATGTCGACGGTGCCATCCTTTAGGATGTATCTCCGATAGTTGTTGGTCTTAATAAGCTGATCCTGTATCGCACAGACAAAACCCTCGGTTTCCCCGAAGAGGTAACCGAAACGTAGCGAGTTGAGGGAGGTGACTGTGTCTACGAAAGGTTCATGTAGAGCCTTGTAGAACCTCCTGTGGAGCTCCTTCTCCTTCCATACAGTCTCCCGGTCGGAAATGCTCTGTACTGCCGGTTCTTGCCATTGCTCGTTGGCCAAGGATAGAGGGGTAAGCCCTTTATCACAACAAATGACGTCCCTATAGAATGGGTCATCCGATCTCGTCAGAAAGTAATTACGGAGGCTACACACTTCGCGATTTTGCATGGTAAGCGCGCTTAATAAGCCACGGCCACCATTTTTCCGTATTATATTTATTATTATCTTTCCCGCAATGAAATCTGTCAAATATTTCACCTCATTCCAAAGTGGCCGCGCTCCGGTGGAAGATAAGGCGTGGTTGCTCTCATTCTTATTTTATTTTAGAATTCCTTTTAGGTTTTACTAACTCTGAGTTTATGGGGGTCTGACCTGGAAGTTAAAAATAACTGCCTATATTTTAAAAGGTAAAATTCACACTCATACTCAGCTGACATTGCTTAGATTACTTTCTTAATTTCCAATGTTATTTATTTATTTTCTAAATTAATTCAAACTCAAAATTAATTATTATTTGTGATTACTGGTAATGATAAAGATACAAATATATTTTTGAAAAAAGTTACGTTCTCTGTATTCAACTCCAAATTCATGCTTCGAATAAGTAAAATTAGCTTCGTTTAAAATTGTAAGTTAGAAATTGGCGGCTGGATAATAGAACCTCAACATTTATGGTTGACTTTAGGAAGAACACTTTATTTGCAATCTGTGAGATAGTGTTTTCAGTTTTTGTACTTACTCTACTGAATATATTGATGTGGCATGTTACAGAAAACTGAATTTTAATTCCCAAGTGGTAGTGACTATAAACTCTTTGCTAAGTGTACCACATGTGTTCTCTTAACCATAGATTATAGATATATAGATATACATACATATACATATTACCAGACTTTCAGCTGAATGTGAGTGAGTGTGAGTGGTGCCGTGCTTGTCGCAGTCAATTTGGTTAATGCTGGATTAATTTTTCGTGTTATGGCTCCTGGTAGTGAAGTGAATGATAATAATGTATCGAAACATACATCTCAAAAAGTGAAAAAATGTCAAACTAACAGCAATGCGAATGAAAAAAGTGGCAGCGAAAATGTTAACAAAGGTAAGGTTTGAATGATCATGCCCTCAGTTATGTAACGTTGAGCAATAGACCTGGGGTGAAAAAATATATTTATTTTAAAACTTGCACAGATTGCATTGTGCTCATGTGACTGTCATTATATCATGTGACCATTACATTTTTGGGATATTTTCTCGATATTTTAATAACCAAAAAATAATTTAAAGTAATTAATATAATTACAGCTTTGTTTAATTTACCTATCAGATGATAGTAATTGCTGTTTATGAATATATAATTAGATTACACAATTTTTCTGTTTGGTGCATGTTTCTTTTACTTAGAGTAATAACATTGTACTTAACCGTTCATATTACTGTACTCTGTTCAGCCTGAGAATTCAAAACACTGTACATATTATAAAAATATATTTTATGATTCTCTCAATGAAACTTACCAAGACAGTACCAGCCATGTAAAACTTGCTCCAGTAATCTGACCTATAGTGACCTCCAGCTTTTATAATTTAAATTTTTTTTAATATTATAGGTAATCTAATGTTTAAATTTAATATACTAAATTGACCAGACATCTTTGATATAATAATACCTATATTTTGTAAAATAATTAATACTTTGACTTTTTGAGTAATTTATATGATAAAAAATATAATATTTATATTTATTACAGTCAATTTTATTTCATTATTGCTGATATGAATGTGTGATAACAAAAATATGTTTAGAAAAACAATAATAATATGTTTTAGAAATGATGTGCTTAGTGCTCATATGGTAGAGATCCAGAGACCATTTTTATTGGATATGAGGCATTTCATCTTAGTCCTCAGGGATGAAAATGCCTCTGCATTTTGATTCTTAGTTAGGTTAAATGTAGATGTCAATAAGCCACAGCATCCATTTACCGTCAGGTGGAGTGTGCTATATATATAATGCTATATATACCAAAATGAACACTGTAAAATGAAATATTTTCACTAAAATAACAATTGTCATGCATTAAAGAACAATTTCTCCACCAAGTAGTGTCTGATTATATATGTCATGTATAAAAATTCTAAAATAATGTACAGAATGTAACAAGTGCTGGGCCTCCACTCAATTTTAAGAGGATTATGAAGCAGTTAAGCAGTTATTCCACCATGACCATAACCTAATTTTTTTTAACTTTGCAAACAAAATGTTCTCTCACAATGATTTTCCTATACCACCAAGAAAATAATTTGAACCTGTAGTATTAAATTTTATAATTATAAGGTAATAATTAAAATAATGAAGATGAAGATATTTAAACTTTGACTTCTTCTCAGCATTCTCTAGTAATCCACAGACCGGCGATAGGAAGCAATGTCTATAGCATGTACTGCATTGAACAGCATTTATAGTTAAGAGAATAAGAAGGAATGTAGATTAACTACTCTTTAACATTGAAATAGGAGGGGAGTTGGGAAGGAGGGTAGGGGTCATTCTCCAAGAAACATATATTATTATTTTCACAAATTTTTGGCCAGATGAAACAGATGTTCACAGCTTTGGGGTAGCCCAATGGCCACCGTGGTCGGCACCTACCTACTGTACCTACCCACCTACTGTAGTTAATATTACTGTTCTAAATAGGATCAATCTATATATCTATGAACTAATTATGTTAGCTTGCAAAAAACTAGTTAAGGAAAGAAAAACCTACTTTATTATTAAATTGCATCCCTTTGCATTTTCTATCATATTAACCACATGGAGTACTCTAAGGAATTGTTCAGATTTAAAACTTATGTTACCATCTACATTGTTTGGATGCATACCGCTCCACTACCATGCGATTTACTAGCAGTTTTCTTCTTACTTATGGAATTGTATTGAATACTTTTGGAATTGTTTGCCACAGGTGACTGTTCGAATGATAAAAGTTCCTAAGTCGTGCCCTCATGAAATGAGCGTACTTCTTTTTTTAAAAGGCTGGCAAAGCACCTGCAATTCTCTTGGTGTTGTAGTATTGTATTAAAATATTTAAAACGAATGCAATCTTGTTTTCATTTAAATCTTTAAAACAAAATGCGACTGGCTAACATAGAACTTTCACGTTAGAACCAACGGTCTTGTGCCCCGACTATAGATGTAAAGCAACTGTTGACAATGGATATTTATCCAAAGTAGCCGATACACAACCGTTGTCAACTGGTTGTTTATCGGACTACAGACGAAAAAGTATGGTTATGTTTTTACTGTGCGTGCGGATGGCTGAGCTGGATCGCTCTTTGCAATGGTGCTTAAAAACTACTTGACCGATTTAAAAATTATTAAATTAGATTAAAAAATTCTTTCACCATTAGAATGCTATTATGACTGCGAAGCATAGGATGCATTTTATTATAGAGTGGGCGCTACTATCAATGAATTTTTTCTTGGCTAAACTTGTTAAGTACTTGACTGATTTTGAAAATTCTTTCACCATTAGAATGTTATGTATAATTATAGATGTCTAATGTAGGATGCATTTTATATTAGAGGGCGCTACTTTCTATGAATATGTTTTTTTTGGTTAATCTCGAAAAGTACTTCACTGATTTTGAAAATTCTTTCACCATTACATTACTAGTGAGGGTGTTAGTTGTGTGATTAATATTTTTGAAATAAATAAAAGTTAATACCTACCTAAGATGATCAACTCCAATTATTATTTTTACTTTACCTACTCAGGTTGATTGTTGTAGATATAGGTAATAAGTCTAAAATAAAAAGAGCTCCGCTTAAACGAAAAATAATTTATTAAAATAAAACCAAAAGTTGAAAAAAAGTGGTAGTAACAAGCATAGAAATAGAAATAGAAATAGATTTTACATCTAGTCAAAATACCACTGTCATTATCGCCAGCAACAAATTACTTTGTTTTTCATAGTTCATAGTTTATGTTATACAAACATAAATGACAAAGTTGTATTGGCGGTTTTTAAAAATGTGCTACTTATATCTCAAAAAAATGGTATATTATATCAAAAAAATGGACTATTATAATATATTATAGGGCTTTCTGTGATCTATTCATTATCAAAGAGAAAAACCTTATTGGGCAGAAAAAAATATGTTTTTATCCATTTCAAGCCATCAAAAGCGGTTGTCAACCATTGAAAACGAAAACAACCATTGTTATATGCTCGGTTGAAATCGTTGTCAACCGTTTTCACATTTATAGCCCTGACAGAGCTCAACCCGTTTTCATTATTCATGTGAGTACATTACCTGTTTCACCTCCTTTGATATTGTAGGTGATTAAATCGGCATCCTGTATAAATATTTTATATTTATAACAGCAATCAATAAACGTCTTCAATAACTAATTCATGTGGTAAATAAATAGTGACGTTACTGGATAACGGCGCTTATTTCCATAATGATAAATATTCTAGAACAATCTACTAGAAGAAAAAAAATTAAAAATTATTACTCAAATATACATTATACTTACTTACTCCATATCAGGATTTAAAACACCTTAAGAGGAGTATTACAAAAAAACGCGAAATTACAAGATTTCCTCGCCGAAATTATGTTTCCGTTCGTTGCTTGAAATAGTAATTACTTGTTAAAAATAGTTCGTTTTCAAATTCAAAAGGCAAATTTTAGATAACTTATTTATTTATTTAGTAATAATCATTCTCCCGATGCATGTTTAGGCCAAAACTTTGAGAGACATGATTTGGAAGCTCTAATTTGTAGATTCTATCGAATATCAACCATCGAAAAAAATATTTTTATCTCACAAATATCCTATACTTTAATAATGATTAAATACATTTTCGTTATATGCCTTTCACGTAAGCGAAAAATATCGACATAATTCAATTATATGTATACCGAAAAAGTTTCGATACAAGTCCCGATATCTCCAAAGTTCTACGTCATTTTGACGTAAAATTTATACCAAAATAATCACCAACATTTGTTTAAACTCTACTACGATTTTTAATTTTTAAATCGTTACTATTATTTTTTAATTAAATAAAAGTACCATATATTTCACTGCGTCGGTTCTCTGCGTTCAATACAGCGCAAGCGCTCGTCTGTGTCGGACCTCTAATCAACTTATATTGCAATTATTTAAATTAATATTTTAATGAATATTAAATGATTGATTAATAATAAAGAAGACTGATTTATTCAATTTCATTGTTATATCATTAGAATTTGAGGATATTGTATTGTAAATAATAAAAAGCATTGTTTTACTTTAAAAAAACTGTCATGTTATAATAAGACTAAAAAATTAAGGGTGTCCGACCTTTTTACCAAAATGTCCGGCTAAGCTAGTTGGTCTGTCCGGCTTTTCGGTCTTAAGACCTGGAAACCCCAGCCATGGCGCTGCTATTTTGTGCTAGAGCATCGTCAACTACGCCCGCAAATTTTAATCGTTGGAAATATCTACTTTAGTACAGTATATTTCAATTAGTATAAAGTTCACAAATTATTATTACACCAGATAGTTAACTCATTACAGTTATTTTAATTGTAGCTGAGCTTTCTTACCATTCCGAATGGAAAAAATAAATAACAAGTATCAATGTGTCACTTAACGTAAAAAAAGAAATATCCTATCCCTGGAGAAAAAATAATGGAGAATAAAAATGTCTGCATGCTTGCCATATGGACTGGCCCATATTATGCAGTAAAAGTACTAAAAATCTACAAAGACAACAAATTTTGGATTTTGAATATGTTACCCAAGTTACAAGCGTTTTCTAAAAAGTGCATACTGCCTGAAATTATTGACTCGAGCTCGAGATAAGCTCGGTCAATGCCGTTGCGGCAAATATTTTGTAATAAAAATAATGGTAATTGACTGTAAGTACCGATTAAAAAAATATAAGTTACAGTTGATTATTTTATTTATTAAAACACGTTGCAATCGTACTATTAATTTATTTATACCACTATGCCGTTAGTAGATAGAAACGAACATCGGTTAGCAGTCGATTACTGTGAAACAATTAAAATATTTATGTGTACTTATTTCAAAACTAAGGTTCA